TAATTACATATAATATAAGAATATTGACATGTATTTTTGAATTTTTTACAATTTTCAATGTGAATGAGGGAAATGAATTTAACTCTTTTTTTGTTGTTGTTGACAGATTGACGTAATAGTGTCTAATTCGTATTAAGAATAGAACGATCGTGAGCAATGCCCATGATGTCGTGTAACAACCATCATCCAAGACCAGGATCACACACATATGAAACGATGTGTGCCAAAATTAACAAAGTGACCCTTGTTAGCTAGATATCAGCTGCAAATTAGCTTCTCTATTAACCATTTCTTACCTGCTGTTGTGGCTTCGCAGGTTTACCTCCACCCAGTACCGACCGAAGCGGAAGAGGACGTGCGTTGCTGGCGCTTCTCCCCGGATGGACGGTTCTCCTTTAAGACAGCTATGAGATGACAGGAGAGGAAGACCAGGGCCATCTACATCGACACCCTAAGTGGCGCACAACTTGGAGAATCCCGACGATGCAGAGGATGAGAACATTCATGTGGTTGGCCAACCATAGTCGGCTACTCACTAATGCGGAGCGGAAGCGGAGGCACCTCACGGAGAACGACGGCTGCAAGACCTGTGGAGGAGGCCCTGAGACCATGATCCATGTACTCCGCGATTGCCCGTACGCAAGGGAAGTCTGGGCAGGGATGCTTCACGATGAGCCAGACCAAGATTTCTTTGAATCCAATCTCGAGCGCTGGATCTTCCACTACACTTCGGGCCGTGGCCACTCTATCGACAGCACTCTCTTCACGTGCATGTGCTGGCTGCTGTGGAAAAACCGGAATAATTACTGCTTTCAAGGTAAGTTGGACTCCTGGGCACATATTCAGGCTAGCTCGGTGCGGATTCGGCATCAAATAATCACTGCCGCGGAGAAAGAACGAGAGGTGATCGGAGTTGGGGGGCTCCGCGCACCTGCGATGATCCAATGGCAGCCACCGCCTCTGGGGTGGTCATGCCTAAACACCGACGGATCAGTGATTCTCGCGCCACCAAGCACGGCGGCAGGGGGCGTCGTTACGAGGGACGATGGCCGCCTGATAACTGCTTTCTCCATGAACCTTGGGGGGGGGGGGTTCCATCACGGGCGCCGATCTAGCAGGGATTGTGCACGGGTTACAACTTACTTGGGAGGCAGGAATTAGGAAGGTCATTCTTTAGACGGACTCATCTACGGCCCTATCGCTCATAGAGACAGCGACTCCTTCCCACTCACACTACACCGCAGTGGCTGAGATTAGACGTTGGTTAAGTCGAGACTGGCAGGTTCAGCTCCACCATATATTTAGAGAGGCGAACGTGGTCTCGGACCATCTAGCTAATTCGGGCCACGCTCTGCCGGTGGGTCTTCATCGAGTTACAGCACCTGATAGTACCTTAGCATATTGGCTGTACCATGATTGTCTGGGGGTTCAAACTCTCCGTTTTATTCCAGTATAAAGGTTGGGACGCCCTTTAAGCGTCCCGTTTTCTACCCAAAAAAAAAAGAGAGGTAAAAAATAGTGCCTCATGCTCACCCCGCATAATTGCAGGTTGAGTAAACCCACCCCTGCACAAGTCATGTCAGATAGTACCTAGGATTGCAAATGAGTCGAGTGCTTGCAAACACCTCGATGTTCGATTTAAAAATTCGTTTAAAACTTGACTCGTTTACTAGTGAGGCGTTGATGAGTGTCCATCTTTTTAACATTGACTACCCATTAAAAGAATATAGCTACTACTTAATATGAGTGTCCATCTCGATATTATACATCCTCTTCATTTTTATATAGATTGTATTATTTTGTCAAATAAAATAGCGATGTCAATAAGATATTTATTTTTTAATCATATGTTAGAATGTGACAACTAGATAAAATTTGTACATGAGTGAATGCTAACTTAATTGAATCTCATTTGACATTGAGCAAATGTATATTAATACATTACTCGTCCGTTCTTTGTCGTTCCAAAGCAGAATATATATAATTAAGAACCAGAAACAACAAAGAAAATAGAAAAAGATTGTCACACTTGTTCATCTTTACATGGATCGAACCTAACATATAGAATACATGAATAAGAAGCCAACATAATTTGCATGAAAATATAATAATATGAAGAAACATAATTTGCATGCTCCTGTATATACATAGAATTCTTTTCTCTCTTCTTTACTTGAGAGGATTGTCTTATCATCTTCAAGGATAAATTTATTTTATTGTGAGATATTGGAAGACATTAAAATATTGCTACATTATTTTGTTTAATAAAAGATCCATTCATGTCAATAAATTTACAAGGAAAATTCGGAATCTGTATTAACTAATATGACATCGATACACATGTACATAATCTGCACCAAGGAAGTCAGTTTAGGGGTGGTGATGAATGCTAGCTGGAGATCCAAGGGTTTATAGATCTCCACCGAAAGCAACTTGGGCCCCGTGATAGTGAATGGCCTCATCGATAGGCAACCTCGAAGGCTTAACTGTGTTAGAACCTTCAAATCCCGAAAGGGGTCTCCACCTTTGAATCTCACACCCAATAAACCGAGGTTTGTAAGCAAGCAAAAGTGCCCAAGCACATGAGCACTGACCTTATACTTCAATATCACCTCACAACTACTCAGAGACATCTCTTTCAATTCTGTTGGAATCTCTTCTGTAATAGCGTTGAAGTTGGCAAAATTGTTTTGATTGAATTAGAAATCAAGTGTTTTTATGTTGCCATACAATGATCTGATCCAGTCCCTCATCTTTGCTGCCGGAGGCATCAATGTTGGATCCCCAAAATCCAGCACATCAACTTTCTTCCAAAAGGATTCCCACTCCTTCGACAGTCTGCTAAATAGGAAGGCAACCTTGGTGAGTTGGTGTTGAGTCTGGAGAGGATATCTTCAACCATCTCAGTGGGAAGCAGTTGTGAATATTTAGGAAGACAGGAACAAGGGAAAGGGAAGAGTAAGAAAAAGACATTGGAATTTTGAAGTGGTGAATTGGACATTTTTCGTTTGTTATTCGAAATTTTAAATATTCCACCCAGAAGCCCAAAAAAGATGGGCTAACATTTTTGGTGGGCCTTCAGTCAAGTATATTATCCAGCTAAAGAACTAATGGGATACTATCAATTGACAATAAAAAGTAATTGACTAAAATCGATTTACCAGTTTTTTTTCTCCACGATAATAGCCTACGGTGGTTGGGCTTGTTCTCCAGCGACATTGGCCGGCGGTAATTGGGCTTTTTCTCCGGTGACAATGACCGGCATTCGTTGGGCTGCTTCTCCGTCCGGTGGATGGCGTGCTACCCCAGAGGCAGATGTTGATACATTCGATTCTTTGGTGGTGTATCTTTGCCCTTGCTGGTGGGGTTTCTCCAACCATATGTTCGAAGTCTTCTACGACGGCAATATCCGACGGTCTTGGCCTGCTTCCCTGGCTGGTGGATGGCATGCTACCCCGGTGGCAGATGTTGATAGATTCGATTCTTGGTGGTGTATCTCTTCCCTTGCTGGCGGGGTTTCTCCAACCATTTGTTCGACCTTTTCTATGGCGACAATGGAGGACTGTCGTTGGCCTGCTTCCCCGGCCAGTGGATGACGTGCTACCCCGATGGCAGATGTTGATAGATTCGATTCTTGGTTGGTTTCTTCCCCTGCTGGCGGGGTTCTTGAAACAATGTGTTTAGCCGTAGCTTTCCTCTTGAAAAAAACGCCAGACAGTAGCCGGCAACGATCAGGATCACAAGCAATGCAATGGCTTCTTTTCGTATTCCGACTGTAGAAAAACCTGAATACTCACTGGGAGTTCTATCTTTGGACATAAAACAGAGAAGAAAATTGCTCTGTCTGTATGACTCTCTCCTTACTAACTCAACTATCCTATCTTCTTGCTCTTCTTGATCTCGGTTGATTGTTTTGCTGTAATCTTGGAGATTGTTCTATCTTCTTAAGTGAGGGGCACTTTTTTTTTTTTATATGATTTCGTGGCGCGCAAATGGTTTTGGGGCTTTGAGCTATGTAAAGGCCGAATTCAGAGCCCAAAGTTCCACCTTCTGCGACTGACCCTCCCAACTTAATGAATATATGATTGAAAAAAAAATGAAGAAACAAGACAAAGCATGAAGATGGGGTAGGAGAGGTAAAAAATAGTGCTCATGCTCCACCCACGTAACTGCAGGTCGAGTAAACACACCCCTGCACAAGTCATGTTGGATAGTACCTAACCTAGGGTTGCAAATGAGTCGAGTGCTTGCAAGCAGCTCGACTTTCGACTCGGGAAGACTCGCTCGAAACTCGACTTGTTTACTAACGAGCCATTGATGAGCTAAACCTTGTTAAGCTCGCAAAGCTCACGGCTAGCTCGACTCAATGATTTGTTGAGCTCATCTTGTGAGCTTGCTTGTTTAGGGCTGATGAGATGTCTCAATATTGTGGCTAAAGAGTCAACTCGATTACCAACTTATAAGAGAATCTATCTATATCTTATAAGTTTGATTTTGATAATTCATAGAATTATTAAATTATATATCTCGTCGTATATAAAGTTAACACATTGATTATGAGTATGAATGTCTTATTATTTTTATTTAAAATATGTATCATAGAGTGCTTCAATACTACGAAATAACATAATTTGAATTAGTTAAAATTTGTTAACTAAATATAATGCTACCAAAAAAGTATAACATGAGATTAGTTAATATTGAACATTTAACTATTATTATTTGTTTCATCATACGAAATGAATATATCAAATACGAGTCAGTCAAGAATTTAGTAAACAAAACTAACTCTAGCTCGACCAGATTCAGCTCGTTTATTAACGAGCCAAGTTCAACCTAAAATAAAGTCCGGCTCAACTCGACTCATTTACAGCCCTAGACCCTAATCTAATTCCTAAAAGAGTTGGTTCGAATTGTCACTTATATGTCAAAGGCTGAAACAACTAATTAACTAGTCTCAGAAACAAACCAGTCAACGAAATACCCTGTCGAACCAAAGGAAGGACACTAAACCATAATTTTTTTTCCTCAACAAGACTGTTTACAATCAAAGCGCAGGGGAACAACCAACCAACGAAAATTCACTCCAAAAAAGAAAAAAAGAAAAAATAACAATAATCTCCAAGCCCTCAGTAAAAAAGCAACCTTCAAGCTAATAATTTCCGGTAAGGAATCAAATTCAAACCCACAAGAAAAACATCGCCATTTTGATGTTTTTTTCACCCGTTCTACATGGATTCTCTCAAGAGAAGCAAATCTTGCTTCTCACACTTCCAAAACCCCACATTGGGTACACCTTTTTACTACTACACAAACCATATACAAATTTGTTTTGTAGGACACAGAGATGAGAACTTGTGACCTTATCCTTTTGTTTTCCCTGCCTCTTTTAAGGCACAAAACCGATGTCCTTGAAGTACTCATGTTCTATGGCAGTCCTGGCTGTAATTCTCTTGACAGGATCCAAGCACAGCATTTTCTGTATGCACAGCAACCCAACAAGCAATATGATGATCATCACCAACGCAAATCACAGACATCCCTGCTAATCCCCTGGTGGAGAGAGAGAGAGAGAGAGAGAGGACATGGAACTTCAACTTACACGTAGAAGGTCAAGACCAGCTGAATCGAGAGTTGGAACCACAGTGGCCAAGTCCTAGCACAAGAAAAACACTCGATCGTGAAATTCAGAGGACAAGTTGGAGTTTCTATGCTTCGGATAGACATCAATAAGGAGGAAGCATGGAAACCTTTGAAGGCCACTTAGGGAATGTAGACTTGAAGTCGGGCAAAGATGTTACTCCAGGCCAGGTTTCTTCATTTGGCGTACCCGTGATTCTGCAGATCAGGAAAAATCTGAATGTAAGCTTGCACAGTGTTTCGGCACGTAAACTAGGATCATGCATACAGTGTGCATCATTGCTATCAATGAAAAAAAATCAGTTGACATTACTGATGGCTGCAACTAAATTAGGCAGCAAAGACAAATTAGCACAACCTATTAATGCAATGTATTGATGATTCTTAAAACAAACAGAAGTAAAAGAAATGCAGAAGATGGATGCCAAGAGAACAAAATGGGAATTGGGAAGGTGCTTCACCTGAAAATCTTAAATAGCTCGTCAATCTCAGAGTCCCCAGGGAACAACGGGCGCTGGTTCACCATTTCAGCAAATATACATCCAACAGACCACACATCGACAGGTGTAGAGTAGTGTCGAGATCCAAGAAGGATCTCTGGGGCTCTATACCACAGAGTCACCACCTATGTGCAGTAAGGTAGAATCAATCAGAAAACAATAAGGTAGCCTGCCAACCAAAGCAGTCATAAAAACTTTTAGCTAAACACCACTGCTAGCAATAGAGCACTCCTATTTCATATTCATGGTCTCAGGTATGGTTTCTTCCATGACAGGAGCTTTGTTATTAAACTAAGCACACTAGGAAATCTAATACACACTAACCAACATTCATAATAACCAGACATTGCTTTACACCTACCCAAGATACCAGCACCCAACCATTAAGTGAAGCTTAATACCTTACATAACCAGGAAAGGAAAAAGTGGAAATCATACCACAAGTTACAGGAGAAACTATAATGAATGATTGCAACTGCTCAGGGATCCAGACATAACTACTGGATAAGCAAACCTAGTTCGTCTGTACCTCATGAGTAAATGTCCTGACAGGTATTCCAAAAGCTCTAGCCAGGCCAAAATCTGCAAGTTTCAGTGCATTGGTACGACGATCAATAAGCAAATTCTGTGGCTTCAAATCTCGATGAAGAACCCTGTGAGAATGGCAATAAGCAATGCCACGGAGGATTTGATACAGGAATGTCTGCACATAGAAGATAATTATAGATGTTCAACAAAAGGTAGCAAGATGGGATGACATCCACAATCTATTCCGGTATTCTTAGGTAGCAAAAGATTAGAACAGGAATATATCTTCGTGGAAAAGAGGAGAGAAAGGCTACAGGCAATAGTTGCCATAAGAAATGTCAATTGTTGGGGAGTAGAAGGAAGACAGAGTTCCAAGCAGTTACATGCTAAAACATTTGCAAGATCATAGTTGGAAAATAGAGGATAAACAGTAGCAACCCTATCTTCTTTTAAAATTGCTCACTAACTTTGACTATGCTCGGGTCCTTTGCGAATTCAGGAGAAGAGTCCATGTGCTTCTTCAAATCTAGATCCAAGTACTCAAATACCAAATACAAGCGCTTCTCACTGTGCACTACATCCTGCAACCTGTAGCCAAACAAACCGCAAATCAGCAGGAGAAAGGACAAAAACACAGTTCGCAATTGGGAAGGAGAAAGGTTAGATGAGTATGCTTCAGTTACAACATCCAGTGCTTCCCAGAGACACAATGCTGTTCATATGAACATGCAATTTCAATACAGATACATGCATTTCAAACCTCCATGGTAAGTAAAATTTACTTCCACACAATCTCCAAGAACAGCAACTCAAAACATGCATCCTTACCCCCAATCAGTCCATTCCGTATAACCTACTCAAAATACAAAACTCGGGTTGAACTAAGCACAGACACACACCTGACAATGTTGCCATGCTGCATTTCTTTCAGAAGTGAAATCTCTCTAATGGCAGTGCTGGGGACTCCCTCGTCTTCCTGCTCCAGGCGGATCTTCTTCAAAGCTATAGTCTCATTGGTGATTCGATCCCGAGCCTTGTATACCACTCCATAAGTCCCCTCCCCAATCTTCTCCACTTTCTCGTACTGGCCACGTTACAAACATCAAATTACAATTAACTTCCATCCAAACAAGAACAAAAAAAAAAAAAAAAAAAAGTCATCGAGCAAAATGCTTGACGAAGTACTACCTGCTCCATTCAATCCAGTTCAGCTATCTCCCCCTGCAACCAAAGCAAAGAGAAACGAGAAGCAATCAGATCTCGATCAAAACCGCAATCTGAAGTATACCGAAAGAGAAACGCCCAAATCAATCGTAAGAAACAGTTCAAGATTAACAGCGAGGCAAATGCTGGACGCCAATACCATCTGCATATCATTGGGACCCGAAAATCCACAGAACAAACGAGGAAACGAGAGATATACGGCGAATCTCGATCATCGGAACGAAAGCAGAGCAGTTGCAGGCCGATTTTTTCCAGGAAAACACACACACGTAAACCGCAGCAAAACGGAGAAAATACAAATGGAGTTGGACGGATGGCGCAGTTACCGGGCGAGGGACTCTCCGTGGATCGTTTACCCCAGCGGACAAGTGCAGGGGATGAGAAGAATCGGAGTCCGATGGCGGAGGGCGCGGTTGCGGTTGGTGGAAGATGCAAGCGGAGCAAATTCCCAGTGAAGTAAAAGTGAGAAGAGATTTCTGCTTGACTTGGGGAGAAATAAGAAGGAAAAAATGAATGAGAGCCTCACCAAATAATTAATACTGCCGTGACCGCGAGGGTTAGTTTTTACTTTTCTCAAATTGTGATCTTTTTTTATTTTTTTAAATAACAGGCAGGCAATTGTCCCTCGAACTAGAAAAATAGAGAAATTGAGCAATCATGTGTTGGAAAATAATACAATATTTTGAATTTTTTTTATACCGTATATTTTTTTGTCATTGGTTGGATTAAATTCAAGTTAAAATCAACAATAATTTCATCTTGATATTATGTTTCAAAATATTGATAAAATCACGATTTATAATATGAAGGATTAACAATTAAAAAATTTAATAGCTTTTTAAAGTTAAAAATTCAAGCTTTTGAGAATGAGAATTCATTAACAAGCTACACATATGCATATGAAGTATAAAACAATTACATCGATCTAATACATCCTCGCATTGTTTAAAGGGTAAAAAGAGAAAGGTAAAGAGTGTGTATGTTATAGCTAAAAAGTCGCCGGGGTGGGTAAGTTTTGCTTTGTAGACTGTAGAGTATGACATGGGGGGAGTAGGACTAGGAGTGGATAGAATGCTGAAAAAACAGTCAAAAAGCAAATGGGGCAAACTTTATTAGAGGAATTATGATATGTGATGGGGGAGTAAAAATGGTCCAGGCTCACCACACCACTCTTTTTCACTCTCTTTTGGGACCATTCTATCTATTCTATGTTTATTCACCCGTTTTATATAATATAATTAAATTAATTAATACCCCTCTCCCTATGTTTGGGCCTTCGCCGACTGTATTCTTAAGTGATCCAAAGTGCCAGATGGGCCATCTAGCATGAAGTGATGATGATTGATTGCAAACTAGTTAGGCCCAAAATATTATCACACGAACAGAAAAAGGGAGCCCAAGTAACTAGGCCGGCCGAAACACAACGTAGGGCACACTCTGTGTAGTCCGAAACGTGGAAGGATTGCGCCTTCAACTCACAAGTTAAGTTAGCTTGAGACTTGAGAGGTAGTCCCCCTGCGGCCGGATGCCTTCTTTATTCCATTCCATATCTATGTCCGCCGCCATGGCTATGCTGCATGATGACGCCTAGCAAATGATGAAGTTGGTAGCAAGGCAGTGATGCTAATTAATCAAGGAGGGTTAATAAGACCATGGCCACTTTTGCTGTCCATACAGTACTTTGCCGCGCCATATTATTATTATCTTAGTTGTGGAAGAATAAGTAACCCAATTAATTAATATGGTGTTGTATTATATATAGAAAGCCATGCAAACATGTATATAGAGTTACTTAGTATCCATGCTTTGATTGATAGTTTTTTTTTTATACACGGCAACACATGTTGTGTATCTTCTTCCTAGCTGGCTCTTTTGGTCATGTTGCCAAATTTTGAACAGTGAAGACATGCATGCACAGTCATTGTTGCTCCTTATCATACATAGGTTGTAGTAACGAAGGGCACATTCACATCATTGTGCCCCGTTGTGATCGAAGCACCGATTCTCGAGCATCTTTATCTTCACAATGTCAACGAAGAGTTACAACTTGTGGGCAATGGTCCATTGTCATGCCTTGGTTTTGCGCATGTTGATATCAGTATTTGTTGTGGCACGATCAAGAATGGTGATGCTGATTGGGTATCTCGATTGTTTGCATGAAAATGCAAGGGAGATGTTCTTATGTCGGGATATACTCTGGTAATCATCAGCATTAATTAGTAATTCACGCAATGTCTAGTACTAAGGTTGGTTGATACATACAGAGTAGAGTTGAATTCATGTTAATCCTTGTCGTTGCAGGATTTCTTATCTGGTGTAGATAATTGGTCAGATGAGTACTATGGTGTGATAGATGTTAGTAAATTTTAGCTGCCTGTCTTTCCCAAGTTGACACATTTGACAATCGAAGGTGTTGAAACCAGCTGCCTTCTGCACTCATTGCTCAGCTCAGCTTCCAAATTACAATCTCGATCTTGTTATTGTCTTGGTGAGTTTCATTCATCTATGACTTATGTTTAGAGGTGGCAATTGGATCGGATTCGTGGATTCGTGGATTGGATTGGTGGATCCATGGATCAAATGGATTGGATCCAATGGATTGGTGGATTCATGGATTGGATCAAATGGATTGGTGGATTGATCCATGAATCCAAATGACATCCAAGGCTTGGACCAAAATGTAAAATTTGAAAAGTTTTGGTACTAAAATGTCATGATGAAAAATTTTAGGTACCAAAATGTAATTTTCCAATGATATTTTTTGTATAAAAATATAAATTTTAGGTACCAAAATGTAAAATATAAAAAATATAGGTACCAAATCGTAATTTGCCATTTGGATCCATGGATTGATCCATGAATCCACCAATCCAATTGGATTTGGATCAAATGGATTGGATTTAAATGGATTGGATTAGGTGGATAATTTGGTGGATGGATTGGATTGGATTCATGAATTTGGATCCTAATTGCCACCTCTACTTATGTTCATATTTCTATTATTCTATATGCATGATTATTCATAAATGAGGGGGGGAAATATAATTAATGTTCCATGAAACAGGAGAAGCGAAGAACTTGGTGGGATTACGATGAAGACGAGTTAAAACCATTTTGGGAGGAGCCAGCGCCTGCTTGCACTCCCGAGTGTTTGCTATCCAGCCTCGAGGTCATTGAGGTCCATAACCTGTCAACACGAGGTATAGACGATGGCATCAAAGTGGTAGCGTATTCTCTCAAGGTAGAAGTTGTAGCGAAGAAGGTGAATGTGTACTGTGACATAAAAGACTGCAAATTAGCAGTTGCTTCACATCTACAAATTAAAAAACTGCCAAGAAGGTCGAGCTAGCGTTTGTGAAGTTAATCTCTTACATCCCGATGACTATGAAGGCAGTGATGGTGACAAAACTAAAGCATTGCCAAAGGGATTGATGGGCGCTTGGAAAACCCATTTTCCACTTCCCGATTGGTGACGTAGATGGTAAATTATTTCTTTACAAACTCGGTATATTAATTGTATTATTCATCATTAGAGTTTATTTACTGAGTACATCAATGTTTGTCGGTTCGCTTTAGTTACTTCGGATGAGTAAACAATTTCTATAACTACCTATTCCCAGTATGATGCGAGCCTGCAACTAGTGCCCATATATGATTAATTGATTGATACGTACTAATTAGTGGTTATTTTCAAACATATGATATGGTAAACCTACCTACCTACGTTTTCCAATCTTCATCATAAGGCAGCATTGGCATCGTAGTGGAAGCTAAGGCACTAGTTCAAGCAATGAATTAGAAACCGTGTCGGACTGAAAAATTTGTGAATGGAAGTTCAATTTGAAATTCAATGGTCCAGTATGAATTTATAACATTTGAGTTGAAGTGAATGATGAATTAATTTTTGAATTCATAAATTAAACGCATATTTCATATATTGTTCACTTGGCACTAATAACTTTCTAAGAGCATAATCAACCAGAAAGATAGTGGTCTCATAATCGATTTGGCATTGAACGAAGGGTAATTATGTGTAGTAATACAGAGTAAACCTTCTCGATAGCAAAACACAACAGAGTAACAAAGGTGCCAATTATCAAACATCATCATTATTACGTTCTTCTATGAACTCATTGTTGAACACATTTTTAGGGAGGGCAGCTTTGTAGCAGATGTTATGGCCCATGCTATGCTAGTGGGAGAGCATGTCATCGCGACACCTTGTAACTCCCTTTGCTATATATTGTCTGTACTTTGATTTTGAACGAGTGAAAACTCTCAGGCCGTCTAGGACTCCTTTCTTCTTCTATAAGAGTTGGATGAGACCATTCACTCACGAAAAACTTGCGTCATATCGCTCCTTCCAAGTGAGCCCGATGAAGACTGATATTTGAATAGGGGAGATGTGTACTCAACCTTTAAAACATGGACGGGTGAATGGTCATACCCCTCTAGCTCGGGAATCTTCCCTTATGAGTCAAGAATATCCAATTCACGTCCCTGGAAAAAAATGCTTAGTTTCACTTAAGTAAGTAGTTTTCGATCAATAAGGAGTGAGCCTTCTTATAATATTTCTATAATCATAAGATAGCATTAATACGAATAGTGACATCCACCATATAACGAAAGCCTCCATCCAGTACTTATACAAGCGATGGATTTAAGATTTTTATTTATGTTAATAGCTCCTTGTTATATTTGTAATAGGTTGGACATTAAAAAATGATGGTTTTCTCTAGACATAACTAGTCTTATATATGGATTGTCTTTTCAGCAAATGATTTAACATTGACAAATTAATGCAAATTCACTAATACCTTCTCTTTAGAATAACACAACGTACGTATAGAAACTACCAGGATGAATAACATGTACAATATTTGATAAGTTACAAACAATATTGGAAAATTAAAACAAAAAATCATGTGCAACAAAGGAGCACCAACGATTAACTGATAAATATATAATTAACCACACCAAGCAGCACCAAAAAGGATCACGATTTTCTTCTACGGCCTCCATCCTTATTAAATAGTGCTATTTTTTTTTAATGTTTTTTACCACCTGAATCTCCTTACCACTATTATTATGGCAATATTTACCGCCTCGAATCTCCTTACCATTGTTACCACCAGGTTCCATAGCTGGCCGGCGAAGAAAAAGGCTTCGTTCACACCAACCGAGACTTCGGGCGACGAAACGCACTCTACCCACCGCCAGCAGCGGCCGCCACAACGGGAGGCGGAAGAAGACCTTCAAAAATTCCTTACGACTGCCACCGGCTGTCCCCGGCGACGGCGCAGCAATAGGAGGAGAAGGACTGCTGACGGAACCAGGAAACCGGCGCAAACACCGCGAGAAACCCCGCGCAAAATGGAAAAACGGAATCCCGAAACGCCGAAACGCGGAACGTTTCGAGTTCTGAAAACCCAAAACGAAACGCGAGAAATTGACGAGAAATTGACGATAAAGTGAAATTGACGATATATCACGATATATTAAAATATCGTGAGATTTAGGGGATATATTGACTTTATTGCGATATGTTGACTTTGAGCCGAGAAAATGACCAATTCCGGGGGTTTGAGACACAGGCTGCCGAGACTTGGGCTCATTCTGTGGTGCTAACTGCTAAGGCCCAGTTAGGTACCAGTCCGATCGGCCCATCCTAGCCTTTACCCTCGCGCGCCATCAACCCATCTCACATCTAAAGTCTAAACTGAAGCAGCCGTTCTTCCCTATCTCCTCGTTGGCGACAAAAAAAAAAAAAAAAAAAAAAAAAACGAGAAGCCATAACCAGGCATTCTTTCGTACGCGTTCTGTTCTGTTCATCTTAACTTCCTAATTCCCATTGTTCACCGGCGAAGGAAAGAAAACGCTAGTTCTCGCCAGCGGGAAACTTCTCCCTTTCCAATTCACCTGTTCTTCTACAGAAATGAGAGCTCTCGCTCCCCTGCTGCGCTCGGCCGTCAACATTGCCCTGACTGGTCGCTGTCAGCTGCTGGACCCTTCCTTCGCCGCCGCCAAATCCCTCTCCACCAGCGCTGCTGCTACGTCCAAGCCGGATGATGACTTCGCACGGCGTATCTTCGAAAACGTGGATGAAGGAGGCTTCTTCCGCAGGCTCGGCAAGGCGCAGAACGCGCCGCACCAGCGGCAGCCGTCGCCCGCAGCGGTAGTGAGCGAAGGAGGTGCGGAGGATGGCGGAAGTTACAATACTTTGCAAGACGGGATGGATCAGAAGTTGAAGAACTTCGCCGCGGTCTTCGATTTCATTGATGGTGGCGAGACCTCCACAGCCAACAAACAGGATCTCGGTGGTTTCCGGCCGAACCCGAGCTTGTACCCTAGCTCGTACAATAACTCAAGGGTAATGATTGATGCACAGGTCACAGAAACATATTGCTTTTCGCGTTTTCATTTCATTGAGCTCGTTGTTTGGTCTAGGGATTTTGGATTGCTTCTCTCAATCATTCGATAACCAAAGTGAATAGATGATCACAGTGTGAGGCAGGCTGAACAGAATTTGATGAATTGATATTGATGGCAACTTGTATCCCTAGTTCCCTACTGTATATTTTTTAGGGAAATTGCTCTGGTTTGGTAGACATTGTGCTTATCAGTTTGATCCTTATATACATAAATATTTTATCATCAAAGTGACTGAATGAATTATTGTTTTTGGCCATGGAAGCAACAACGGCCATACAAACCGCGGCCAAGATATGAATTCAAAGTAACTACCGAGGAAGTTCTGCAAAAGGCTGATTTCAGGGTGAGTAATCACTGATATTCCTTACTCCTTTTGTTGGAACCCCTGCGATTCAGTGATATATACGGATAGTGAAAAGGGAATTTCCTTGTGGTAGCATGTTGCTAATTTGATACTGTGCAAATTAAGGCATAAGATCAGTAGATAAGTCTATTTTCATCCCATAGTAGCTCTTATCTGTTCTGTTAATGGTGAAGTTTGGCCTTGAAGTTCTGTCAAAGTTTTAGCTCAAGTAGGTTAAAGCTGTTTCTGTTTACAATTTCAACTGTGTAGTACGGTTTTTCAAAAACTTTTGGGAATGGAACTAATGGTTTCTGTCATCCTGAAATACTTCTTGTTAAGTTCCTGTGTTGAATGTTGATTACCAACTAATGGATTCTTTGCTTTGCGATCTATTGAATTGATCTTGCCCAATATTGCAGAATGTTAGGTTCCTTGCCAACTTTATAACAGAGGCTGGAATCATTGTCAAGAGGAGTAAGGTAATGATCGAACCTGGATTCAGATTTTGTTTAAAGTCTCATGATTGCTTTGGCGTGATGAACAAAGCTTCAGGATAGAAGGTGTACATGTATGTCATTTACATGGAGCGCATCTGTGCATTTGTGAAATTTTTTGCCTGGTGAAATCTGTTAATAGTTCCTTTTGTAAACAAAACTTGATGCTCGATAGTGAAGTAAATAACTCAAACAGTGTATGCCACAGAAATAGTGCACTTGAGAGTCATCATCTGAAACTTATATATCCTTCCATACTGGTTATGTGCCAAATGTTAGATATGTTAAGATACCAAACTGATCGATGCTCTGCTAGTTACCATTTGATATATATATAGCCTTGATTGACTCTTTCTCAGCTGGTAACTCTTATTGATTCTTCTTCTTTTGTGTTATAGACTGGTATAAGTGCCAAAGCCCAGAGGAAAATTGCAAGGGAGATTAAAACAGCTCGAGCTTTCGGACTATTGCCTTTCACAACTATGGGGACAAAATCATTTGTCTTTGGCCAAACTATGGAGGAAGCAGCTCCTGTATCAAACCTTCCTGCTTACAAGTAGCTATAGCTGCTAATGAGATTAGAACAATCCTTCTTGCCTTGATCCCCCCAACAAATAATTGTTGTTGCATGTTCATATGCAAGCGTTGTTTGTTCATTTCTTTGGTTTAGTTTAGGGCGAGGTTGAGGGGTTCGAGTCATCGTGACTTTTTCGAGAGATAATATCCCTTGTGTACTTGTGCAACTCTGAGTTCAATGGCCACTTTGATATAGGTAAAGGGAAAACTTATGCTATCCAGGCCCTTGACATTTTCAGGCATTTGCATTGAAAATTTCATTTCTATGTGCTTTCATGATACTAGAGTTGCTTGTTTTTATTCAGTGCACTCCGAAATCCGGCCGATTTGATGTAGTACCAAATGAAATATTAAGAAAATATTGCGTAGTAGAATCGAATGATATGTTGCCTTTGAATCTTGTCAATTCATTTCGTTTACTTGTTTGTTTCCAATAAATTTCAAAATCAGATTGAAGTAATTTAATAACGAGAGTCGAAATCAAATTTCAATTGGAGCCGACACGTTTCGATTTGGAACCAAGTCGGTTCTTGCTTCTAGGCCTAACCAAGCTGGCCCATATCTGAATGTTACCTTAAAAAATAACTCAAAATAAACGCACCGTTTCTGCAAGGGTAGGGCAGGCGGAAAATGGGGGAAAAAAATAAAAAATCCCTCTTTCTCCTCCTCCACGAGAGTTTTCTTTCGTTCGAGCACCACAGAAACGGAACAGAACATAACTGAACTACTGTCCCGTTCGTCGGAGGAATCCAGCGTAATCTACGGTCGCCTTTGCACTGCGCAACCCCGAATTCCTCCGCCTCCAATCAACCGAGACGACAGGATATGGTGAGTTCCACTGTTTTCCCAACACTCCCTCCATCTGATTATCCCCACTCCTCTCGTTTTCTCTTACTGAGATCTGCTGCTGCCGACAAATTGACCCTGCGTCCTTGTTCTCTCTCAGAACCTTCTCTTCATTGAAAAGTTCTCTTCTTTTGGTCTCTGGGATTTTGAGGATATTGTAGGGGTTGGTTAGCTAAGTCATGCGCGAAAAGTGGGAATTAGAAAACTTAAGGGGTATTAGAGCATGAGCGACTTGGAAAATTTAAACGTAGCTGGAGCATGTGGTTGCTGTTGGCTATAACAGTAGTTTGTGCCATTAAGGTTGTCTTAGGCCTCTTGAAGTTAGTTGCATGCGATACTGAATTCGTATTTTTGACTGACAACTAGAGTTTGATTGTTTCTGAACTGTCAAGCACTTCAGTTGAAATCTGTTGGTTGGCTTTTGCAATGCTCTCTTCTAAGTTCCTGAAGGATTCACATGCCTAGCCGTTATTCGAATGATCGGTAGTCCAGCATCAGTTAAATTTCTGTTGGGGTGTGAATCTAGGACAGGATGAGGAACCTTATGGCCGGAGGAAAGATCTAGTTGTGAACTCGAGTGTTTACATTCTTTGCTGTGACTGAGGTGTGTCCTAGATGGTAAAAATGTGGATTGGCGTTCAAGCCCAATGCCATCTCTGTATTATCACTTCAATTTGCATGTTCTTTAACTCATCAAGCATTTTATGTTACACATCCTAGATGTGCTAGTTGATGCTTGAGTTGTCTGTGAGGACATTGATAAATTGCATGTTATTTCATCTTCTGCATGATGTAGTTTATCCGAAACTCTGAGCTGTTATCTTAAGATGTTTGCATGGTTGCTCACATGAGTAGTTGATGCAACTAACTCTTTTTCTTGGATGTAATATGGTTTGTGTAAATGAGTAGGCAATGTGGGAACGACTATAAAAAGCACCAGTTTATGGAAGCTTTGTAACCATCTTGGATTGCATGAGACTTGTATCAGTGTCTGACGGGAGTTTAGGGATTTGGTTTCAAAAAAAACATGTGGTTTGGGGGAGCTCAGACTTCTCATCTAGGTTGCATTGCAGGAGAACACATAACAATCAGGGAGAGGGGTAATTATATTATTACTGATCTCTTACAGTGGACACTGAACTTCCTGATATCATTTAGTATGGGCCTTGAGCCCTTGGCTAACTGTGGTGTTGATTTATCTGATTATAGTCATGAGCTCTCCCTATCCTTAATTTGATCTTGCTTATGTCTTGTCTCTTCCAGCCCCCCATATCTTCATGAAGGTCATCTGCTTTTGGAACTTACAATTCTTGGAGTAGCGCCCTTCTGCATGCAGCCTGGGGAGGATCCTGTTTCTTACATAGATCAAACAGCTGCTTCTGATTTGGGGCTCATGGCTGATCTTGCGCTGATAGCTATAGAATCTGATATGATGTTGTCCAATAACTCTCTTGTCATTGGACAACAATTTGCTGACGTAGAAACTTGCAGAAGGACGTTGAAAGACATTGCTATCGCCATGCACTTCGACCTCAGAATAGTAAAGTCTGACCGAAGCCGGTTCATTGCCAAGTGCTCTAAAGAAGGCTGCCCATGGCGTGTTCACGTTGCGAAATGCCCAGGTGTGCCAACCTTCTCAATTAGGACATTACAGGGAGAGCATACATGTGAAGGTATCCAGGACCATCACCATCAGCAAGCATCGGTAGGCTGGGTGGCTAGATCGGTAGAAGAACAAATTCGAGATAACCCCCAGTACAAACCGAAAGAAATCCTCCAAGAAATCAGAGACAGACATGGGGTCGTGGTATCTTACATGCAAGCATGGCGTGGGAAAGAACGCACTATGGCTGCCCTCCACGGTACTTTTGAAGATGGATTCCGTCTCCTTCCTTCATACTGTGAACAGATAAGGAAGACAAACCCAGGTAGCATTGCTTCTGTTACTGCAACCGGACAAGAAAACTGCTTCCAAAGGCTGTTCATCTCTTATCGAGCTTGTATATACGGATTCATCAATGCTTGTAGGCCTCTCTTGGAACTTGATAAAGCCAATTTGAAGGGGAAATACCTTGGCACCCTTCTCTGTGCTGCTGCCGTTGATGCTGATGATGCATTATTCCCCTTGGCGATTGCTGTTGTCGACAAGGAGACTGATGAACACTGGATGTGGTTCATGTCGGAGCTCCGGAAGCTTCTCGGTGTCAACTCCGAAAACATGCCTCGACTCACCATATTATCTGAGAGGCAAATGGGGATGGTGGAGGCAGTTGAGACACACTTCCCTAGTGCCTTCCATGGCTTTTGCCTTCGCCATGTCAGCGAGAACTTCCGAGACACATTTAAAAACACAAAGCTCGTCAACATATTCTGGAGTGCAGTTTATGCCCTCACAACTGCTGAGTTTGAAAGCAAGATCTCTGATATGGTGGAGATTTCTCAAGACGTTGGACCCTGGTTTCAGCAGTTCCCACCTCAGCTATGGGCTATATCCTACTTTGAAGGGATGCGATATGGTCATTTGGCACTTGGGGTGACAGAGTTGTTGTACAATTGGGCTCTCGAATGTCATGAAGTCCCGATTGTGCAAATGATGGAGCATATTCGTGAGCAGCTGAATATGTGGTTTGAGTCTCGTCGTGATATGGCCATGAGTTATAACTCGGTCCTTGTTCCTTCTGCGGAGAAGAGGATTGCAGAGGCTATTGCCGATGCTCGGTGTTATCAGGTGCTCCGTGCTAATGAAGTGGAGTTCGAGATTGTGTCGACCGAGAGGACTAATATAGTCGATATCAGAACTCGAGTCTGCTCGTGTCGGCGTTGGCAGATATATGGATTACCTTGTGCGCATGCTTCAGCTGCTTTACTCTCCTGTGGGCAAAATGCCCATGTCTTTGCAGAGCCATGTTTTACTGTAGCTAGTTACCGTGAGACTTACTCTCAGCCAATAATCCCGGTACCTGATAAGAGCATGTGGAGAGAAGTACCAGTCGAGGGAACCGAAGGTGGGGGCGCGAAAGTTGAGATCTTGATACACCCTCCTAAGACTCGACGACCACCTGGAAGGCCTAAGAAGAAGGTTCTTCGTGTAGAGAACTTTAAGCGACCCAAAAGAGTTGTTCAGTGTGGTCGGTGTCATTTGTTGGGGCATTCTCAAAAGAAATGCACAATGCCGATTTGAATTCAAGAGTTACATATATAGCTTCTTCTAGACTTTGTTTTTTCGTTTTTAGGGTCATAAATTCCTAACAGAATCTGTGTTTGTAACTCTAATGTATGTTTCCATTAAAGATTGTTTAGAATAGTTTTCATTCTAATCCTTACGGTGTATAGTTAATTTATCTACCTTTGTGCGTGCTCTCGAGGTTCGTCATCTGCTGTAATTTAACATAACAGTTGCAGGAAGTGCTCTCATTGCTCTCTTAGCGGTACAAGCAGCAAAGAATGGTGCGTAATTGATCGGCTACTTCCATGGATGTCATGGACGATTAAGGTACGTGACTCAACAATGATCTTTTTGCATGATCTCAAGCTGGTTTAACTTCTTCTCGGGTGCTGATCAGGAGAAAACCAGCACCTTCTAGCTAGATAAGTTACAAGAATTTTAGTTATGGGACAGCATGCAGAGAAATAAAGAAAGATTGCAGCTTCCCATTATGTATGCAGTACCCACAATACAATTGTACATACAACTAGTACAAATATTTGGCATCTATGCATCAATAGAAGAAGAATAAAAAAACCAAAAAAGCAAACTTTGGACTAATTTTCAGCTTTTATATATTAGCCCTTCCAATCCAACCCACTCATCTTTATTTACTGCATGGCATAAAGCAGGAAGGAAACCACGAGGCTCCCAACTAGCTGGCTTGCCCCACCAAAGTAATGGCCCGACGTCCCAACGGCCGACGACCACTCCGACGTGGCGTTCCGGTTGCTGGTACGGCTCAACGCCCCGCCCACCACCGCTCCCGTGAGGACTGGCCGACTGCTGGTCCGGGCGCCACCGCTGCGGCCGCCTTTGGCCTCGGAGAATGTCGACATGAAGCAGAGAACTGCCATGGCGACAACCATGAGGGTCACTAGAGTTGCCGGGGAACACAACTTGGCCATCTTAGCTAGCTGGTTAGTTGTGGAACGAAAGAATGGAACTTAATTTATATATAATATGGAACTCTTGTCTCTTGGTAACAGAGGTTGGAGAAGTTGTTCGAATTAGAAGAGGTGAGAACGAATGTGGATGAATTATTTGGCAAGGGAAATGGCTGGCTGAAGGATATTATATGTAGTTGCGCGGATTGCTCTCCCGCGGGCGGGGGTTTGACTGAGTTGAAGGTTGGCGTGTATCTATGGCGCCAAGTTGATGGACTTTTCTGGCTTGGCGGCTTAAGTCTGTGTCATGTCAACACGCGCCCGAGTCGGTTATCTGAACAGATCACTTCACTAAATTTTCTAGGTACGAACAAATTGGTCACTGAACTTTTATTTTTATCGAATTTGTTGTTAGAGCCTGGATTAATAAACCTTGGGAGCCATTATATATGTGTTGGTCTAAGTCAAGTTTATGATCATCTGAATTTCTATTTTGTAAATCAGTATGTAGATTGATCAAATTGATAATAGCTAGTGATAGGTCGCATTTAATCCTCCAAATTGATATCGAGGAAGAGAAGGGAAGGGTAATGTAGGTAGAAACAAGAGGGTGGTTTTTGTATGGGTGTGGGTCAAAATCGGGATTTAATATGTCAAATTATCAATGGAGTAGCAGCAGCAACAATCGAGATGGAGTTCAGGTTCGAAGAAGAAGAAGAAGAATGGTGCTGCTAAGAAACGATGTCGGTTTTGTTTATGATAGGAGTTGGTTTTAATGAAACGGCGTAGCTCTGTTGTGTAGAGTTAGCCGTTAAACTACAGTACTTATTTTGTAATGAGCCAATGGTACTCTGCCATTTTGGCCAACGAGATTACAGACTGCTAAGTACTTTCAGCAGCTGTATAAATATGAAATGGAGAAAACCCAGATAGTTAAGGGTTTTGCCTAGATATTCTTCTCTTCCTAAATCTCTTATGGTATCAGAGCGGTTGCAGATTTAGGGTTCCGCAATGTCTGCATCGTCGCAATCCAGCGGCCAAACGGGAAGATTCAACAATATCTCGGGTGTTCAATTTGGGACTTATGAAGAACAGCAAGCACAACAGCAAACACAGCCCAGATCTGAAATCATCACCTTCGGTAATCCCTTCTATCTCAACCCAAATGAAGCTTTGAATCAATCCATCGGTACTGAAGTGTTTGATGGGAGTAACTACACCATGTGGAGTCGTTCTATTATCATGGGTCTTAAGATGAAACACAAATTGGGTTTCATCGATGGTAGTATTCCTATGCCACCGGCTACAGATGAGAAATTCTTGCTTTGGGATGCTTGTAATACAGCTGTGTTATCCTGGTTGATTAATTCTTTGCATAAGGATTTGAAGAGAGCAGTTATGAACCATGTTAATGCTAAGGTTCTATGGGATGAGCTGAAAAGGAGATATGCTAAGCCAAATGCTATTCGGATAATCAATCTGGAAGATGATATTCAAAGGTGCAAGCAGGGAACCTCTTCAATCAATCAGTACTATACACAGATGAAGGGGTTATGGGAGGAATTTCTGCAGTTTAGTCCCATTGTTGCTTGTAATTGCCTTCCAGGAAATCCTAACCCATGTGAAGCTGTAGTGGCTTATACAGAGAGACAGGAAACAGATTATTTGATCAGGTTTCTTAGAGGGTTGCATCCTGATTATGAGTTCATTAAGAACAAACTGTTATCACAAAAACCATTGCCTACAGTTTCAGAAGCAGTAGATGATTTACTTCAATATGAGCAGAAACTGAAAGCAGATGGGACTGGGAAGAAAGTACAAACTGTTGCACTTGCTGTTGGGAATGAAGAACAGAATGGAGGATTCAAGCAGAGAGGAAGGAAATTCTGTAACTATTGTAAGAGACCAGGACATACCTTGGATGAATGCTGGAAAATACAACAGAAGAGGGGAAAGGAACAAGAAAATGGAAGTAACTCGAGTGGTTCACAGTCTGGAACACCAAGGTTTGCTGGTTCAGCTTCTCAAGGTAGCTCAAATGATCCTAATACTGAGCAGCAAAACAACAATGAAGGTTCTGGTGGTAGTCCTATGAGTGTTACTAAAGGAATTGCAGGGTTTACTCCTGAGGAGATAAACAGATTAAGGTTAATGATGCAATCAGGTGCTAATAGTAACTCTTCACCACCACTATCACCTTCCATTTCTCACAATGCCTACTCAGTGTCTCAATTCCTTCCACCATTCCCTAATTATTCAGGTACATATGTTTTGTCCTCTATCACAGAACATAAGCCAAAGAGTCTAGTTAGTGTTTGGATTCTAGATACAGGAGCTTCTGATCATATTGCTTGTTCCCTATCCTTCTTTATTGATTACAAGCCTGTTCTTAACTCATTTGTTCACTTGCCAAATGCAACTAAAGTATTAGTTTCTCACATAGGAACAGTTCTTTTGCCCACAGGATTGCACCTCTATAATGTCCTTCTTGTTCCTAGTTTCACCTTTAATCTTGTTTCTGTTAGTAAGCTTACCACTGATATGCCACTAGCCTTACACTTTCAATCAAATTTGTGTCAAATTCAGGACTTGCTAAGCATGAGGATGATTGGTTTAGCAAGAGAAACTAGAGGATTATATCAGCTTTCCTTCTCCACACCAAACAGCCAATACACAATTCCACACCAAGCTGCCTCTTCCTACAACTTCCAATCACAGCCTGTTGACCTTTGGCATTGGAGATTAGGCCATCCTAGTAGAGATAGGCTTTCTTTGTTGCAGAAAAATGATTCCACTGTAACCAGTTCTAAGTTTACACACTGTGATGTTTGCCATTTCTCTAAACACAAACGTTTACCCTTTCCTATTAGCACCAGTATTGCACATGATTTGTTTCAAATGATACATGTTGACATTTGGGGGCCTTTATCTGTTCTCTCTTATGATGGATATTCATATTTCCTTACAATTGTGGATGACCATTCCAGATCAGTATGGGTTTACCTGATGCAGCATAAAAGTGATACAAGAGATTTGTTAAAAGGTTTCTGTGCACTTGTTAAAAATCAATTTAACAAATCTGTCAAAGTGGTGAGAAGTGATCAGGGTCAAGAGTTCAATATGTGTGATTTCTTTATGGAGAATGGCATAGAACATCAAATGTCCTGTGTGCAAACGCCAGAACAAAATGCTAGGGTGGAGAGGAAGCACCAACACATTCTTAATGTGGCCAGATCATTAAGATTTCAATCTGGGCTTCCTCTCACACACTGGACAGACTGTATTCTGCATGCAGTTTACTTGATTAATCGTTTACCAACACCAGTTTTGGAGAACAAATCACCATATGAAGTTCTGTACCACAAACCTCCTTTCCTTGGCCACCTCAGGGTATTTGGCAGCCTTTGTTATGCTAGTTCTTTGCCCCATGGCAGAAGTAAGTTTGATGCTAGAGCCAGACAATGTGTGTTTCTCGGATATCCTGCAGGTATTAAAGGCTTTAAATTGTTGGATTTGGAGGATGGCAGGGTGTTTGTGTCTCGTGATGTTGTGTTCTATGAAAGTATCTTACCTTTCAGAGGTCAAGATAAGGAAGAGGAAGTACCACAAAGTTCAGTTCCGATTCCACCTGTTCCTGTTTCAGCTCCCCCAGTGAGCATTCCTACTCATTTATCTCATCTGCCTGCTGCAAGTGCTCCTCTTCAAACAGCATCAGATGATGGGGGGGATAATCACATGGAGACTATTCAGAGTCCTGAGTTTGAACCTGAGTTAGAACCACAGGCTGAGTATGAAGAACCTCCTGGCAGACCACTTAGACATCATATACTTCCTGCTCGTTATCAAGACTGTGAGTTAGACTCACAATTGAAGTTTGGAGCTTTTGGAGGAACTGTAAGTCAACACCCTATCTGTTTAAATGTTGATCACCTTAACAAGCTAGATAAGATCTATGCTTTAAGTATTCTGTCTCAGATTGAACCTACTTCATACCATGAAGCAGTTAAGTCAATTGAGTGGAATAGAGCTGTTAAGGAAGAACTTGCTGCCTTATATGCAAATCAGACATGGGAGATTGTTCCAAGACCTCTAAAGAAGAAACTAATTAAGAACAAGTGGGTGTTTAAGTTGAAACTCAAGCCTGATGGATCCATTGAGAGGCACAAAGCCAGGTTAGTAGCAAAAGGCTACACACAGGTGTATGGTATAGACTTTTTGGATACTTATTCACCAGTGGCCAAAATTAACTCAGTTAAAACATTATTGGCCATTGCTGCAATCAAGAACTGGAAATTGGAGCAATTGGATGTGTCAAATGCTTTCTTACATGGTGAGCTTGAAGAAGATGTGTACATGGAAATTCCATTAGGAGTAGAACTGCCAGAGTCAACTTCACAGGAAATGTGCTGCAAGTTAAAGAAGTCCCTATATGGTTTGAAACAAGCCTCTAGACAATGGTTTGCAAGGTTGACGGGTTTCCTTCTGAAGATTGGTTTTTCTCAGTCAGCCTCAGATTATTCTTTGTTCACAAGGTGGATTAATGGAAGGATCGTTGTCCTACTAGTCTATGTGGACGACATTATAATTGGAGGTGATGCTCAGACTGATATAGAGCAGGTGAAGAAAGCTCTAAGTCAAGAGTTTAAAGTAAAGCTATTGGGACCTTTGAAGTACTTTTTAGGTCTTGAAGTAACTAACACAGCAGATGGAATCTCTGTATGTCAGAGAAAATATTGCATGGATCTATTGTGTGATACAGGTTATGTTGATGCTAAAGGGACTAAATCTCCATGTGATCCAAAGATCAAGATGACAGCCAAGCAAGGAACTAAACTGGAAAATCCAGAAATGTACAGAAGGCTAATTGGAAGACTACATTACATCACCATTACAAGACCTGATCTCACATTTGCAGTACAACAGCTGTGCCAATTTCAGAAGGAACCATACAGTGACCATTTGCAAGCAGCGTACAAGATATTGAGGTATCTCAAATCATCACCAGGGCAAGGAATACACTTCAGCAGCAATACAGAAATGAAGCTTGTGGGATTTTGTGACTCTGATTGGGCTGCTTGTCCTGATACAAGGAGGTCTACCACAGGGTACTGTACATTCATTGGAAGTTCACTCCTCACCTGGAAGACAAAGAAGCAAAACACAGTCTCAAGATCATCATCTGAAGCTGAGTACAGGGCACTTGCATTGCTTGTCTGTGAAGTGGAATGGTTAAGAAGATTGCTAGCTGAGATGAGTGTGGAGATACCACTTCCAGTTGCAATTTATTGTGATAACAAATCGGCAATACACATTGCTGAAAATTCTGTGTTCCACGAGAGAACCAAGCATATAGAAATCGATATGCATGTGACTCGTGAGAGGATCAATGATGGATTGGTTAAACTGAATCATGTCAGCACAATTAATCAATTAGCTGATCTGTTTACTAAAGGTTTACACAGGGTTCGTTTGCAGGAGCTTCTATGCAAGTTGGGGATCAAGGCTGAGTCCACAACTTGAAGGGGGGTATCAATGGAGTAGCAGCAGCAACAATCGAGATGGAGTTCAGGTTCGAAGAAGAAGAAGAAGAATGGTGCTGCTAAGAAACGATGTCGGTTTTGTTTATGATAGGAGTTGGTTTTAATGAAACGGCGTAGCTCTGTTGTGTAGAGTTAGCCGTTAAACTACAGTACTTATTTTGTAATGAGCCAATGGTACTCTGCCATTTTGGCCAACGAGATTACAGACTGCTAAGTACTTTCAGCAGCTGTATAAATATGAAATGGAGAAAACCCAGATAGTTAAGGGTTTTGCCTAGATATTCTTCTCTTCCTAAATCTCTTACAAATTATTCAAACAGTAGGGGACTGTTTATTATAAATTTCGAGGCCAAAAAATCGAAATGAAAATATGAACAACTTGAAAATTTTATGAAGAAAGGAATTAGGAAGTAAGTAATTATGCCAGTAGATGCAAACTTTGATAAAGAAATTAAAATGTAACGAAATGAGAATGTCGATAGTTAGAAGTGGAAGAGATGATGAATTTTTATTGAAAGAAAGAGGAGAGAAAGCAAGAAATTAGCAAACTAATTAATTAAGCAGATACATATTATATTATATATAGTGATTCATTCATTAATGAATGAAGTATGTATGACTAGATGGCATAAAGCAGAAAGGAAAGGAGGAGCAGAATGCAGGTCCCAAGCAGTTGCTGGGTTGGGCCTGCAGCAGCGAGATGAGGGGCCGACGACTTGGTAGCTTGCTGTGTCTGTTGCAACGCCTCGTTGGAGACTTCTCGGCCATACTTGGTGAACAGTTGCTTTGCTTTGGCCGCGGCGCCTGATGCCGCCTCGTCTGCTGCTCCCGCTACTCCGGTCGGCATGGGGAGGCCCTCTGCTGATGTCGACATGAGGCAGACAACTGCCACCGCCGCCACAACCACCACGGTCAGCAAAGTTGCCGGCCTGGAACTCATCATCATCATCAGCAGCAGCAGCAGCTTCGTCGTCTTGTCTTAGCTAGCTAGTTAGTTATCAGACGATCGAAGAGGAGCTAGATCGAATTCAATGAATGGACCCGGTTTTTGTGCAACTTTAAATTGGTGCATATATATATATACACGTAAAACAGAGATTGGTTGAACAAGTTGGTTTGGAACTAGAGAAAATATTTGTGGATGGATGGACGAATGAATTGTGATGGGGCACATGGAGGATTTATATATAGTTGCGTCGAGCGAGCTGGAGAGGACGTTAGGACAAAGGCTTATAATTACTAGCTACTTGACTCGACTCGACTCCATCGGTTGAAATTTCAACCACGGCGCCCACAGGCACAGGGCCATATAAGTGATGTATCTAGAGAAGAAATGAAGGAAAGGAAAGGACCGAGCAATTACTAACTAACTGCTAGCTATATATACTCCGACCGACGACCAAGACTCGATCGGTTGAAGTTTGGCATCTGTCTATATATATAATATTAATTAATATATAGCTATGGCCCCAAGTTCGGATTGAGATGGCTATGGAGGATTTATATAGAGAGAGAGACTGGCGAGCTGCCTCCAGCGTTAGTACGTACAGCCAAGGTTTACTATTATTTGACTCAACAGTTGACTCGACCCGGTTGAAGTTTCAACCCCTATAATTATAAGGAAACCACCAAGCAACTACGTGCTAATTAATAGGAGCCGCCAGGGCAGGGCAGAACCCACTGAAATAATAATAATACATGGGAAGGGAATTGGGATGGTAGCTACTACTCCGACGACCAAGACTCTAACTATCGGTTGAAGTTTGGCGTCTATCTCTGGCGATGGCGCCAAGTTGATAATAATGTAGACATGTCCTTGTATTGTCACTTGTCAGGAAGGAAGGGAATATTGGGTTGTTTCCGGTAGTATATGCACCACCAATAACCCAGTATAACTAGATTGAGTTTAAGTTATAATACTATATCCTAATTTCTAATAGATAAATTGCAGACTTTGATTCTATATATAAACTCAAACTCAACGGTCGAATTATTTAATATAAAATAATATTAGACGACTCAGATTTATCGAAATACAACAAAGTACATCCAACGATCGTATAACTTGTCAAATATATCAGACTTTATCTTCGATCAAAAACTACAACTTAGATAATTATTGTTGAAACACTTGAGCTTGAATTACTCAAAATAGGAAGACTGAAATTGCTTTACATTTAAGTTATGCAAACTTTTCTTTCACATTTCCTATAAAAAATTTAGTAAAGAAATCAGAAATTTGAGGGAGTCGCTGTCAAAGTTAATCTGCAATTCTGGGCAATTCTAGAATGCAGCACGTGGAAAACATGAAACTAAAGGTGCCACTTTCTAAGTCAGCAAAAGCATGGCAAGATTAGATGAACTTGTAATTAATGAGTAGCAACAAAATAGTAGTAGCAGAGGATAACAATTATCCTAAAGGAACCGACAACAATAAATGATGGCCTAGAGCCTTCCTAATGGCGGTGAGCTCATGTATAAATAGATGGCTAGTGTGGTTGTGTAAATCATCAGAGAGGAAGAGAGCTAAAAGCTCCAGCAAGAAAGAGCAGCAGCTCTTTGTATGCAAAGGCAATAATTGCCCAGCATGTGTGAGATTAAAAAATAAATAATAGAGTGAAATAATTTCCTCTATATTTTTCGATCCTAAATCTCACCACATTTCCGCTGTGCCCCAACAAATTTGGTATCAGAGCCGATACCAATATCATATCCTCCTAAACTAGCCTCATATATATTACTCAAAAACTCCCCAAGAAAATCATGGCAGCAATCCAAGCGAACACAATGTTCGTAAATACCCCCAATCAAATTCCCATCTTTGATGGTGAACTCTACGAGTACTGGAGCGAACAAATGGAGACAATCTTCATCGCTCAAGAATTGTGGGATATCGTCGAAGAAGATTATGAGGAAGTTATGACGGAGGAAGATTCTGGCAAAATGTCAGAAGCAAAGCTCAAGCAATACAAGGCGAATGTCCGGAGGAATGCCAACCCCTTACGAATAATTCAACAGGCGGTCAGCAAAACTATATATCCTCGGATTTTTGGCATTAAAAATGCTAAAAAGGCGTGGGAAGTTTTGCGGAATGAATTTCAAGGCAACGATCGGGCAATCTCCATCAAACGCCAAAATTTATGGCGAGACTTCGACAATTTGTCGATGAAGGAGACTGAAAGTATCAAAGACTTTCATTCTCGTGCAGCTGAGATAGTTAACCAGATAAAAGCAACTGGTGAAACTATCGAGGAGAAGAAAATTGTGGAGAGAATTCTCCGCAGTTTGTCACAGAAATATGAGCATGTTGTGGCAGTCATTGAAGAGACAAAAGATTTGTCAAAATTATCAATGACTGAATTGATGGGTTCACTCATCGCTCATGAGCAGAGGATGAGAAAATTTACCAATCAACCACTGGAGCAAGTTTTTCAGTCAACTGTCAACATGACTGAAGCCAAACCGGAACAAGGCAGTCAAGGAAAATCCAATGGCAACGACAACAGGTACTGCGTTATCTGTCAAAAGACAGGACATGCAACAAAATGTTGCAAGTTCAAGTGCCAAAGGTGCAGGAATCCAAATCACTCCCAAAGGGATTGTTGGTTCCAAAAGAAGCAAGAAGATGATCATGAAGACGAAGAAGCAAAATTCGCCCAAGGTGAAGAAATTAATGAATTGGCACTCTCATGTATCGAAGAAGATCAACCAACAGACAGCATGACCAAGTCAATTACTCAAGAAAAATTCGAGTACGAGACACAACTACGAATTGCAGATTAAGAGGGGGTGTCAAAGTTAATCTGCAATTCTGGGCAATTCTAGAATGCAGCACGTGGAAAACATGAAACTAAAGGTGCCACTTTCTAAGTCAGCAAAAGCATGGCAAGATTAGATGAACTTGTAATTAATGAGTAGCAACAAAATAGTAGTAGCAGAGGATAACAATTATCCTAAAGGAACCGACAACAATAAATGATGGCCTAGAGCCTTCCTAATGGCGGTGAGCTCATGTATAAATAGAAGGCTAGTGTGGTTGTGTAAATCATCAGAGAGGAAGAGAGCTAAAAGCTCCAGCAAGAAAGAGCAGCAGCTCTTTGTATGCAAAGGCAATAATTGCCCAGCATGTGTGAGATTAAAAAATAAATAATAGAGTGAAATAATTTCCTCTATATTTTTCGATCCTAAATCTCACCACATTTCCGATGTGCCCCAACAGTCGCTAGCTAGTAGTTGAGAAACTGAAGTTGAAGGATTCAAACTCTGGAGGGCTTGGAAAAGCAATATCAGTTGCAACTTAATTTCTTAATATCCACAGAAAGTAAAAAACCAGCTGTCTCAGACACAGTATAATCGAACTTTAGCAATTTATACAAAACATAATACGATTATATAATAATAGTGTTGATGATTTGCTGTACATCTCCCTAATTCATAGCTAAAACATACATTAATTTAATATGCTGCCCACAGAGCCAGAAAGGAAACTAGGAAAGTTGGCAGCAATAACTGATCACGAGCAGGACCACCGAAGCGAAATATGAATGGCACTCCGGCCCACGCCCACCCAACGACGACGAATGCGCCGTGCCGTTCCTCCCGGCAGCACCGCCGGCCGCCCCGCCCACCACTGCCCCGGTAATGGCTGGGCTGGCCCTATTTCTGCCTCTTCCCTTGCGTCCCCCACCCCCACCGCCGCGTTTCGCCTCAGCTGAAGTCGACATGAAGCAGAGAATCACCGCCGCGATAGCCACGACGGTCAATAGTATTTTAGTGGAAGAAACAGAAGCACTACGACGAGGATGACGGCCGAATCTCGACATCTTTGATTTGATGGGATTAATCGCAACAAAAGTACTACTGTCTGTCTAAACGCTAAAGTAATAACTTGTTTTGTTTTCTTCTTCTTATTCTTCCGTTTCTGTGGATATGATGGTTGCGGATGTAGCAGGCGAGGCGAGACAATTTTATAAGCGTCGTCTTGTCTTGTCTTGTCTTGTGCGCGGATTACAAGACAAGAATAGCGCGTAAATACAAGGGAAGGGAAAAGAGAAGTAGTCATTTATTTATTTGTTTGTTGTATGTATCTCGATCGATCGATCGGCGTCTTCCAAGTTGGTGCTGACTTGTTGACTAGTGAATGCATGGGATGGGAGATAGTGGAGAGAGTGGGTGGGGTGGGACTCTGATTGATGACTGTCAATTGTTAAACAAACAATTCGATCGTTTTCGTTTTGTGGTGGAGGAGGAGGATCCTTATCCAAAATCAGTTGCTAGCTAGCTAATGTTTTCGCCCAAACCAAGAATAAGAACAAGAGTGGGCTGGGCCTTGATGGGCTGAGTGGGCTTTGGTTAAGATGGTTTCTATTGTTATCCGGGAAGGAATAGAAAAGGCCCAACCCAGGAATAGAAAACTACATTCATTATCGCATACAGGCAGCAGAAAGGAAGCGACGAATGCTCCAACTCCAAGCAGCAGATGACTGGCACCGCCAAAATACTGGCCTGAAGCCCCAACTGCGGATGACGGCGTACGGCTGCCATCCACGGCTCCGCCCACCGAGTTGGGCTGCCGCGAAAGATGACATAAAGCAGCAGATCGATCACAATTGCTACCGCCAAGATCAGTACCGCACACGCTGAAGAAACGAGATTGTGACGATTGCTGAGCTTCGTCATCTATCTTTTATCTGGTTGGATTGGATTTATCAACACCACCGGCGATGATCGTTCGTTGTTGTGGAATGGAATGGAATGGAATGGAATGATTTTAGTTGTGAGAAATGGCTGGGGAGAGCAGATCGAGGGAGGTCACTACGTAGTAAACTGCAAAATCTATTCTATGGACCATCCATCAATCAATTCAAATTCAATACCCTTGTTCTCGTTGAAGGGGTTGCTTCTTCTCTTCTTGGATCAACTTGTTGACTAGTAAGCTAGCTTAGCTAGGTGCGTTGCCCTGCCAACAGAGATGAGACGAGACGAGACGAGACGATCAACTCTCTGTTTGCGTTGCGTTGAATTCTCTACAGAGAGAGGACGAAAAGGAACTATGGGCCGGGCCCGGTGGGGTATTTGATTAATGGGCTGGTCGGGCTTCGTTAAGATGGTTTCTCTTTTGTTTTGCGGGAATCAAAATGGCCCACCCCAGAAGAGGCGGGAAGGAAGGAAGCCCTAACAGACTAATATAAATATCTATCTATTCTAGGTGAAGAAGAGAAGAAGCAGAAATGGCAGTGTGAAGCGGCAGCCGTTCACAATCAAGTTACAAATCAATCGCCGAGGCCACAATAGAAGAAGAAAATACAAAGGAAGTGGAGAGGAGAGGCAAAAAGATGGAAGGACCTCATCATCAGGATCAGGAGGATGCTAGAGAGACGGCGCCGCCATTATCATCGCTTAATCCGGCGCCGCCGGTGGTATCTGCTGAAGAGAACGTGGAAGCACCTCAGGATGATCAGCAGCCGGTCGCTCAGGCTCCCAAATGCATCGATGAGTGCGTTTAAGCTAATGTTCGCTAATTCGCTTGTTGGTTATTATACGTAACGTAAATCTCTTCTTCAAAAAACTGGCTAGCTAGGTAGGTTTGATCAGCCTGATTTCATTGACATCAATTCTGATTTGTTGTGTTGCAGTGGGGATGACGAATATGATCGTGGAGAACATGAAGCCATGCTTAGTGACACTGCCAAGATTGCAACAGAAGCTCTGGAATTCTACAACAATAAGGAGGTTCGTCCATCCATCGGTTTTCATGCATCTTGATTAGTTCATATATAGCTGCTACAATGATTCCCACCTGTCTGCCACTGAATTGATCATGATATATAGTTACATGTATGTGTTGATGTCCTTTGTTAATCAGGGTACCAACTTTGTGCTTCGGAAGCCCTTGCTCAGCTGGTGTAATCTGTTCCCCGGTACTCTGGCCATCCACGCCAACTTCAAAGCCTCCGGAGAACAACCCTCCCAGTCAGCTCTTCTTCTCCGAGACACTCAAAGTCTACCGCCAGCCCACCCGCATTCTCAACTGTCTCATCATGGATAAGCGTAGTACTGGTGAGCAATGAGTTGTACTTATTTTATTGATCGTCTTAGTAGCTCAACTTATAGACACAGAGATAGTTGTACTTGGAATTAAGTTGTTGATGATGGTGCTGACTGCTGTGTGCAGGTATACGCACAGGTTGTGCACATTGTCCGACCCACATATGCGGCACAACTTTCTACCATCCTCCTATGGGGAATTCCGAGTATGGCGAGGATGAGGAGAAGGATCATGCAAGGTTTGATTACGATGAATCGACCAGCTCATCAGACGATGAAGAGTAGCTACTAGCTAGGCCTTCGCTGAATCCCCTTGCTGCCTGGCAGGCAAGTGGTGGTAGTAATTTGTTCTCTCTCAAACAGGATGAGGAAACTTCAGATATTGTCATAGCAGCCAGTTCCTTTGATGTAGATGCTCTATGTTCGCCTCACACATGTTTGTTAAAAAGAAACTAGTACCTTCCCTTCCCTACTCTTCTTGTTTTCTTTATAATGCGTCTTTGCATCGAAGGGTATTACATAAATCTCATTCATATGTTAAATGTCAGCCAACGACCATCTACATGGTGTCGCCTCACTAACAACGAATTTGAGTTTGATGAAGTTAAAAACGACATAACACGAGAAAGATTCATGTTAAAAAACCAGAAGGTCAACAATATTAAGCCTTTGTTTTCTTCTTTCATTTTCATGATCAATGTCACCACTAACTTTCATTTATGGCCATACTCAATGTGGTCATTACAGAGGATTAAATATTATAATAACTAACCTCAGTTTGGTGGTAAGCTCCTCGCAAATTTTATCATCAGCTGTCTTCCGCAACTAAATAGTTATGACTTGCGATCCAAGAAAGCCAATGAAGTCAGACACTTGAGCTGTGTAATAATCTGGTTTGATATGGTTCGATGGATTGTGCAGAAGGGTTTCAGTCGTCACACCTGCAATGTTCATCGGACTAGCTTATGATCGTTACTTGAATGTAATTATCCCCGTCGACTTCCACTGACATTAGTTCCGACACATACTAGACAGAACAAGAAGAGTTTTGCAACCAGAGCTTTGTCCAAATAGGATATCAGTGTCCAGTCTATCACCCACCATACACATTTTCGAGGTAATGATGTTAAACCTGCCAAAACAACCGATTCGTCCCAAATAACTTGAGCTGCTTAAACATGAAAGATTCAAATATAGAGCCATAAAACTGGCATCATACAGAGAACCGATTCATCCTAACTGCTGGAGTTGTTCAACAGAGATTTAAGAATGAGATGTTTGCACTTACTTCTGCAATAGGAAGTAAGTGCAAACACAAGGCAGCAACCATACAGCCAGTACCTGATTTTCGTATGAGAAATCCAAAGTAAAGACCGACTGCTATAGTAAATTAACCAGAATGGTTAGCGTGTGAACGAAAAAGCTCAAACTACCTCACCGGGCCACTTTTGTAGATCAGTCATGTTCCCTACTGCATCTCGGTTTGTAGCAATGAAAAGGCAACTTGGATTCTCACGTACGCAAAGGGTTCCATACCTGCCAACCGAAATCACCATCTTAAAATATTGGCCTTCAAGCAATGGAGTAAGCAACTTGAATAAGAAGGGAACTTAGGGGTTTCTTACTGGAGTTTGTGGTAGTTAACATAGGGATCTAATCCTACAACAACTACTCCAACCTAAGTTAATACACAGGTTTCAGTGTCAAGCTACGGAAAACAAAAAGTAAAGGACAATAGCTGAAGGAAATGCAAAAGAGAAGTTACATTACACTTTTATCATGTTCAAAGAGAGTATTCGATTTCCATTCTGCTCTTTTTTCAGCATCTTCCTGCAAATATAATTAAACAGATACTATTGAGAACACCAAGATGGAGCAATCCTAGTGTCTTGAGGACTGAGTGCGTGATTGATTTCACATAAAGTTTATTCCTTTGTTTCACTATTGAAAGTAGCGATTGAAGTTTCTGTAATTAGTAAGGTATAAGGAAATCAAAGAGGTTTCTTAGTTCCAAGCTGATAAATAGGCTGCTAAGCTGAATGTGCCAAGTCCAAGAGAGCCGAGTGGATCTTCTACACAGTATACTCAATCCATAGCTCCTACCAAGTGTTTAAAATGTGTTGAAAGAGGGCATTGTGCATATGATGTCCCTAATGAGCATTCTATTGTCATTAAAGAATCTCAAGACAGAACAGCTCAAGCTGTTTCTGAGGAATCCGGGGCTGTGCAAGCTGATGATGGAAAGATGCTTACTGATTGGACGAATGCCAAGTGCACTAGAGAAGGGATTTAAAGATGATAAACGGGATAGTCAGTTTCAAACTCAAGGTATGGCTCAAGGGAAGGTCTGCAAAATGATGATTACAGGGGATGCTCTACAGTTACAGCTTCTCCACCATACTATCAGCATCATTATTTTCACGAATTAACAGTGTCCTTCATGACAGTTAAAAGCCTCTACTCGGCAGCAACTTCTCAGACATAATACTTCAATGAACAACCCATGATTTTCTTCGCAATAGGCAGAAAATCAGGAACTATTTGAGAAAGGATCACGAAAGGAAATTGACTTGTACATCAAGTTTGTAGCTTCAGCTTATCTACTTATTACAGAATCCGAAACCAAGAATGTGGAAAATACCAAAAAGAATACTTCTGAGTCAGCTGAAGACAACTGCTAATCATAAAAAGCAAATTCGAAGTTTTCAATTGCTTCTCATCTTTCAATTAGAACTTTACAACCCAGATATTCCATACATTGATTATGACTCCTATGTTCAGAAAGCAATTAACTTTGCAAAATTTAGGCAACAAATCTTGAAGAATCATAAACATCAATGACTTTCTAGCCAGCAAGTTCATCATTTGTGCTGCTCAAGACTACCCAAAGGCTCTCAAATATAGACTTAAACAATGTCCAGGCTACAACTCGATGATCTCTATGGTTTCTCTGGACTCCTATATGCTTTCGAACACCAATTTTCTAATTTCTTACTGGGAGCTTGAAGGATTTGCCAGCAGACTATGAGAGGTATCAAACTTTACTCTCCAAACAAAAGCTTCATAACGGGGAAATGTGGTGGTGCCCATTCGGATTGGACCATGCCAATACAAAAGTCTGTTCTCATCAATCCATTCCTATTCTAGCCACCAGAATTGCTCCAACCAACTAAATCTAGCATTTTCATTAATTCAATCTCAAAGGGGAGCAAGTACCCAACGAATTCTAACCAGCAATCACCTTCACCATAGCTCAAACTCTTGCTATCAAAAGAAAATCAAGATCCCAAGGGGAACAGCGTCTAGTCAGCTCATTTGACAAGAATGAGGCAATTGCAAACTTCACTCCCTAAACCCAGACTAACCTACATCCGTAGATCGACGGAAATCTCAACAGCCAAGAACGCGGGGGAAAAAGATTGAAACTTGATCAGAACATATCAACGAGTACAATAAGAAAAGTAGTAGGGGGAGGCACTCACACATTGAAGGTTCCCGAAACCGTTTCGTTGGCTGTCCGGACGGCGGATTCAAGATCGAACCCGAGACTCATTCCGCTGCCTTCATTTCATCGTTGGCGTTTCTGGACGAGGCGTAAGAGTTCCAGTCGGCCAAGAGAGACGACGATGTCTTCTGTGGCAGCTGTTGGTCTTCGATAACGGTACACGAGAAACACACTGCGCCATTTTCTCTGTGGCAGAGAACTGAAATCGGCCGACGTTTCGGTTTGTAGGTAGGCAGAAGCCTGGCGGAAACGGGATACTCCCACAAAGTGAAAGAACGGATACCAGAAACGGCAGAAACGCAATACGTTTCGGATCCGTTTTGGAAAATGCGAAAACGCTTATTTGGAATTTAATTGAAGGCCCAAACGAGCAGTAATACGGCGCCGTTTTCGGGGGACGCTGGCTTACCCCAGAGGAAAACATGGGCTTCAGTCAGACCAAGGCCCAAGAAGCTTCCTCTCTTTTCAATTGAAGGCCCAGAGAACTGAAATTGGCCGACGTTTCGGTTTGGAGGTAGGCAGACGCCCGGCGGAAACGGGAAACTCCCGCAAAGTGAAAGAACGGGTACCAGAAACGGTCGAAACGCGGAACGTTTCGGAACCACAAAACCAAAATCGAAACGCGAGAAATTGACGAGAAATTGAAATTGACGAGATATCGCGAGATAACAATATATCGCGGTATTTACCCGATTTATTGTCTTTTTGCGATATATTGACCGGGTGCTGAATTGGCACCTAGCGTAGCAAGAAAAAGAATGAGAAACGATCGCATAAAAGCGCGGGGAAACAACAGAAACCATATTCCGTTCATGAACTGCGCCAACATTACGGCATCCAATTGCGATTTCGATTTCGATTTGGGTTCGGCGGCCGAAATTCCGACATCCAATTGTGAACTTGGGAGAATCGAGGCTGCAGGATGCCATCGGGGTTCTGGTTCTTGTGGACGTAGAGGAGTAGCGTCGCTGCTGCTGTATTCCGTAGAAACCTGCCTCCCCACCATCGCTCGCCGCCTGAATTCAGGCTCAGCCTTTCATCGTACCGCCCGACCTGCTTTCGTACTGGAAGCATTGTTTGATCGGAAGTCGGAATTCGCTTTTTGTATAGACAAACAAGGAGGATCTTCGAACGGAAAATTATTGGTCGGGAGTTTTGTTATAAACGCGCTGCTACGGATCGGGAAATTGCCGGAATCGATAAAGTAAGAATACGAGAGCGAGAATCGAAAGAACACAGACACACAATTTACGTGGTTCACTAACACGATGTGTGTTAGCTAGTCCACGGGCGAGAGAGAGCCAGTTTCACTATATCGAGGAGATTACAGATTATTACAGAGGAGTATGAGAAGTATTTATAGTACTTCTCCATGTGGGTCTAAACCTAATCCAATCTAGCAAAGGAAACGGTTACAGACCAGGCCCAGAACCCGAACCCAAATAACATTGAGCCCATACACCGTGGGCCGGGGGCGTTGCCCCCGCACCCCACTCGCTGACCGGGCAACGAGACCCCCGATTACCAGTCGTAGCGGCTGATAGTCCGATTCAAGTCATATCAACAAGTTTCTTACTTTTGAGGGAGTGATTTTTTCTTCTTGAACGGGGAAGAGAAAAGAGCGACGCCTAGCCGCTGAAGAGTGAAGGAGGTGAGGAAAACAAACTTCTTTCCCGGTCAGTGAGGTTTGATTGATTGGAGAATCGAATATGCTTAACGGTTGGTGGCTGCTCGACCTGGCGGGTCCCGCCACAATGGTTGTTGCCTTGTTGGTTCGTTTTTTGATTCCCTCCATTTTTCTTGCAAGGGGCTAGCAAGGGATTTAATCAGAAGAACAAACCAGATTAAACTGAAATTTGAAACAGACCGAACACGATTCGATCAGAACTTACAGTGATTCAGCTTTGATTCTTGATTGGTTTGAACCATCAAAACTAAGTGGACCAAGGATCAAGACTTGTACTAATTAGACTGATAAGGGATTGGATTGTTCAATTTTGGATTCAATAGAACCATGGCCTGCTCCTAGTAGTGTTGGCCATATTCTACAGTCCATCAACATTGGCAAACCTTTGTCACATACAATTTTGTGGAGAAAAATAGAAATGCAGTTCTTTCTGAAGAACCCAACTAACCAAATCAAGAGACATGGTAAAACACTTCACAGTTGACAAATCCTTGCAACTGGAAGATCATAGTGATATAGTATACATACTTCCAGACTTTGCTTTTCCCCTACAAACATTGTTGGGGAAACGAAACTGATAAGGAGGCTCAAGAAGGATGACACTCGGTTTCATTCTAGTCGCCATCAGAGTCGTGTCTCCTTCTCTTCTTCTTCCTGTCCTTGTCCTTGTCCTTGTCTTCCCTGTGGTGTTTCCTCTTGTCGTCTGAATCCCGGGAATGCCTCTTCTCGTGCCTTCTATGCTTCTCCTCCTTCTCTCTTCTCTTCTCCTTTTCTAGCTTCTTCTCCTCACGTCTCCTACTCTCCTTCTGTCCGTTTTCATCCTTTGTTTCGACTTCTTCAGGGGCCTCGGGTGATGGATTGGGCATATCGACCTTTGGGGGCTCGGATGCAGCGTCTGTCCCGAAGGATGGAAGGGTTGAGGGGTCTTCCCAAGGACGGGGTGCCCTGAAACATTAAATACCAAAATACCAAGTTAACATAAGAGTGGTCTGATGTAACATCTTGATCACTAAAATGTCTAAGGTTGGACTGCAAATGATAAGCTACATACTTTGAGAACCCAAGACCATCGACGCGTGCTGCATCAGCATGCCCAGATCCCAAGTCCTCTGCAGTGGATCCTCGCTTCACCAGCTCATTGAACTCGTGTTTATCAAGTCGAGTTCCTTGTGGCCTGGCAGCTCGTTTGGGGGCTAAGCCAAGGGCCTCCCTCATGGCTTGTTCCTCCTCTTCCTTGATCCTTTTAATCTCTTTCTTTAGAGCATCTTCTGAAGACCCGGAATTCTTGTCCCTAGTGTACCAATGCAGATCTTTCCCTGATAAAACAAAACCAAGACAGACAGATTCAGCAGATTTGTCGGGCAAAGGACTTCTGCTGAGAGTTTATGCAATGACTTATTTGCAGGCACTAAAAGCGCACAGTCACTTTCAGAATTGCAGAACCCATCAGATTGGCAACCCGTTTTCGATAAAGGTTGAAGCTTTTTAAAGGAAGTGAATAAACAATCTAATCCTGAAGTTAAACAAAGATCTGCCGTCATACGATCACAATGCTGGGATGTAGCATAAAACGATGAAGGATCATCTTATAAAGGGATCCCTGCATGGAAAAAAGACTAGCGGCAAGTTTCAAGCATTCAACTAAGACAATTAGACACCAATGCATTAGCAGGATACCTTTCTGCCATCTTCCCACTGGTGCCTTGAGACTGTGGCCAAGGTAATTCTCACGATGCTTATCAACCTTAACATCATCCCAGCTGAACTCTGCCAAAGAACAACAAGCAAGTGTACAGCAATCAGTTATCACCCAGACCACGAATTGTAAATATCCACTGAATCAATTCTCCAGATGAACAGGTTTGAATAGCGAATAACCCTAGAATGCAAGCAGCAAGATTGGCCCGATTGAGAAAGTAAGACCCCGCGCCCGCAAAACCGCGCGAATTCATCGTACCAAATACACAACCGTAGTCTCAAAGCGAAAGTTTGAGAATTTTTCGCCATGATCGACAGTAGAACAAAGAATCAGAAGAGAGAGAGGGGTAGACAGAAAGCTTACGATCGCGGCCGCCGCGAACACCGCCACGGGTTGGATGATACATCTGGCGCGGCTAATGGATTAGCGACCTTACTTTTCTTCTTCAACCGGTAAATCAAAAGTGGGAATCGTCGGAATCAATCTTCTCAGCGGTTAGTTGCCGCTGATTGGCAACTCCACTGCTCTCGCCGATGTTCTTCTAGACATGAGGGAAGGAAGAGATCGACGAGAAGGGAATCTACAACTCGTAAAAGTGTAAAACAAACAGTCTCAAATGATTCAGGGACCATGAAAAGAAATCTAAATAAGTTTAGGTATTAAAACAAGAACAAGAGGCACGTATTTGTAATTTTCCAGACAATACTACGTCGTTTAAAGCTAAGAAAGGGGATCATTCAACAAAATCCCTAATTCCTTGACCTCGCCTTCCTTCGTTCATCGTCATACATAGAGAGAGAGGGAGACTGATATAGTTTTCGTTCAATCCCGAGATCGGCAGTCGGAGCTCCTCGACGATCGGTATGGTTCTCTCCGTTTGGCTTTCATTTTTCTGGGATCCTAGCTACTGTTTCGATCGGAAAGCTGTTCGCTTTCGTTAAATTTTCATTGCGGGATCTGCTGCCTGCGCCGCGCGAAGTTTGGTTTCTTTATGGGTTCTGATAGATTGATTTTTTACGCGTAAAGCTTGCGTCTTTCGTCTCTGCGGTTTATTGGGTTCCGATGACTTCTATATGGATTGAGATTTCCGCTCCTTTACGTTGTAGTTTCTATTGCCACTTCACAGTCGAATGGGTGTATTCGTGAGATGCATTGTGATTTGGATACCATAAGCGCGGGAGAAATGATCCGTTGCGCGATAGTAATTGGCTTCAGTCACCTAATAGATTTCTATTTCTTAGAACTAAAATGAAGTGTCTTTCTTTACGGGGTTTCAATGCTGGGTGGTGAAATTTGCCGGTAGTGTTCTCCTTTTCCATCGTGTTGGTATGATTCTTCATATTATATGCACTTGGCTTTGAATTGTTGATTCGGAATTCGCTTTCCTGCTTGGTCTGATCATTTGGTGCATTGCTTTACTGAGCTGCAACACTTGTAAATTGCTTGGATTTCCATGCAGTGCTTAAAAATCTGTACTTAATCTTCCACTAAAGCTCATTCTTTTGTCACTGTTCTTTGAATCAAATTGACAGGCTTTCTAACAAAGTCCTCTCTGCGCAACGTGCTAAACTCACCTTAACCGACAATGTAAGCATTCTTTTCCTCTTCCTTTCAATTCGTATTGAAATGTTGGTCCCAGTCGGTTATTTTGTTTTTACATAGCATACTCATTCAATCTTGTCAAGTAGTAAACTAGTAATGGACAGTGCAAGTTCTGAAGGAATGCAAAGACTCTTTCTCTTGTTCATTTGGATGCTTCAACCAATAGTAAATTTCTATTCTTTGTATGGTATAGCTCAGCCTGATAAGCTCCTAGAAGCAATTTAGGGAGCCTATATACAAACACTTTAGGCATACTGAATACTGATACATCGACATGAATTTGTTGTCAGGAGTAAATGTCTAAATTCCGATAAGAAATGAGTCATTGAGTACTAAAGAAAGTTTCTTATTTGCTTCCCGCCAGTAGCGATTCTGTTTTTCTCGATCATTGACAACTCTGCTCTAGACTATCTATGTGCATATTGCATTTGGTTTTTACACTGCTTTAACTGCCTTAAATCTTATTTATTTATTCCCCCTTCTGAATTCAGGGCTGATGAGGAACCTGTTGATCAGAAGAAGTACCTTGAAGAATCTTGCAAACCAAAGTGTGTGAAACCATTGCTCGAATATGAGGTGTGTACTAGTGATATAAAAATTTGAACTACCACATCCTGTCATTTGATCACCTTGTTGTTATTGTGTTATGCCATCAATGATAATCTTTAGAAGAACAAATTTGTCTTGCTGATGTTTTTATCTGTTGCGCGTTTTGATGTTTGCTTGTAACACTGCTGACTCAGGCTTGTGTGAAGAGAATCCAAGGCGATGATCACAAGCACTGCACGGGGCAGTACTTTGATTACTGGTTCTGCGTCGATAAATGTGTAAGTTTCCAACTATACGTCAAATTAGGTCTGGCGCTTTCATTTGCTGTGTGTGTATTCCATTCGTCGTCTGTCGCTAATGCTGCAACAACTCAAATTGCATTGCAGGTTGCACCGAAGCTATTCCCGAAACTCAAGTGAGGGGGAGATCAGATGAGTTGCTAATATCTTTGGTGTGTTTTGGTTTTCTTCCCTTTCGGAAGTACAGGTGTAATAAGTTTCTAGAAATTTTTTTGGTGATTCGTATTACCGAACTAAGCGGATGCCTGCTGAGGTTTTGTTCTTGATTTGTCTCTGGAACTTTGTTTTATTTATGACAGAATAATAAGAGTGTTGAAGAGACTATTTAGTATTTATCCTTGCTATTAGCTATGAGTTCCTCTCGAGACACTTGGCTTCTACTTAACTTGAGATGAATCAACCCCACTCGACTCGGGAGTGGCTTTACTTATTAACTCTACTTAAGAGACTTATTCCCTTGTTGGCTGTTGTTTTCTAATGGCTGTTGTAATTCATCTATTTGGTTTCTCTTGAAAGTGATGATGGGAGGAAGGTTTGCATAAAGCTCAAGATTTCGAAACTGTTGTTGCTGACTTTTCAAGTGGAAAATGCTGGAAACCTGACTTGACAACGAAGAGAGACACTGCACTTGCTACCTAAACGAGGAAGCGGCAGCAGCCAGCCAGGCTCCCTCGTAAAGTTCAATGGTTAAAGGGTCTGAAAGCCAAGTTACTTGACTTCATCCAACTCGGACTAAATCTTAAATTATGGATGTATCAGAGAGATAAAGGGTCTCAACTTAGATAATTAGTTTGCGGAGCGGGAGCGAAATGTGAGAGCGCTCATTATTCAAGAACTCAAAATTCAGAACGTGACGAGAGCATGATATTATATTATTTAAAATACTATTTAGTCAAATTTTTAGAAGAAATTGAATAAGCAAGAAGAGGGGAGCACGTTTGGGGGTAAATTTATTTTTTTTTAATGTATTTGCCTCATTTGAATAATTATGAATAGTAGTGAGGGGACAAATGATGAGTAAATCTACTTTCCACTAAACCATCCAATGTGTTGACATAAACTAGGAAATTCAACTATGATATTTTCCTATAAATAAGAGCATCCCCTGCCCCCCTCTTTGCAAGGGCACACGCACAAGACACAAGAGAACTCACAACACAAGTCATTTTGAACCATTTTGGATCTCTCTCCCTCTACCTTCTCTCTAAAAAATGCTTTCTCTCTTCCGATCTTACAAAACGTGTTAAATCTCTAAACACTCAACACACTCTCAATTTGACGGACTAACCATGGGATCATGGATAATCTCCACTGGGATGCATTTAATAGTCGGCGACGCTCAATTATGAATGTGAGAAATCAATGCTCTTCGAACTTTAAACATATTGAAGCAGGCTGCTCCAAACTTGACATCAACAAGTCTAGTAGCTACATAGTTTCTACCTATTCAATACTCCAATTCAATATGGAATAGTCTCATTCTACACTATATAAGTAACTTAAAATAAAATATAAATATGAAAGCACAAATAATCAAATATATGTTGAGTATTTAATTAAAGGAATTGTATAGAATACTATGTAGTCGAGTTAGTCATAGTGTTTTTACTTTGCTTTAGTAATTTGGATTCAAATTCTAGTGATAACATTTTTTATTTATAAAGAAAAAAGACGCAATTACGAAAATGACATTTCTACTGTTGCTCTCGGACCATGAAATTTAAAATGGAGAAAATTTGTTCTCATTCCAACTTATATATATATATATATATGTGTAAAGTAGAGATGTATAGATAGAGATGTAGTTAAAAAAATTCTTGATTCCACATACAGTATAACCTCTTTAACTTAATAATCGATAAATTATTAACCTAGTATAAGTTAATAATTTCTCCGGTCTCGACTTGGGCCAATGTAAAAAATGAGCAAATTTAATAAAATAATAAGATAATTGTTTTTTAGAACCAACCTAGATAAATATATATATTTTTAAATAAGAAGCCATTTTTTAATAGCACTTTTGGACACCTTTCAAATAAGAAACCATTGTTGAATATGATTTTTACAATGCTCTGTAGTTCTATATATAGTGATCGGGTCACCATGTATTCGATGAATTATATTGAATGTATGATCAAGGAATATAGGGGTGCAAGTAATTTATAACATGAATCTAGACCATCTACAAGAATACATCGAATACATTTACCATGGAAGAATGCATAATTTTCTTCTATTAAATTTTAATACAATGAAATATGAATACGTAGAATGTGGTAAGTTATCGTATGAACTTGAAATGTTTGGAATATAAGATGAACGTACATCATAAGAAAAATCTCTTTAAATTAATTAACAACTACTATAAATTAATAATTTTTACGGTCATGACTATATTAATTTATAGAGGTTATAGTTATATTATACTGAATTACTAAAACTAAATAAAAAAATTAAAACAAAGAAGAAAAAAAATGCAACAAAAGCCCAACCTTGTCAAACCCTTTCTACCCCGACCCGTTCATAATCAACGAAACAATGGTTTGGGAAAAAGAGATTGATGAACCTCCTTGGCCCGAAAGACAAATGACAGAAGATGGAGCTGATCATCATGACGAGCAGCAGGAGGAGGTTGGTGCGGTAGATCCGCCGCCATCGTCATCCTTTTCTCCTAGTGTCAGTCCGGCGCCGGTGGTATCTCCGGAAAGAAACCTACTGGATGCGGGAGAACCTGATGAGGATGATGAGTTGTTCGCGGAAACGTCTAGTCCTATGTGCTCGTTTGGACTTGATCCCGATTGCCCATGGCACGAGCTAGTTATGGAGTCGATGAATACTGATTTTGGGTGGGTCAGGTGTATTAATTTGCGTCGCTGTTTGTTTGTTTGTTTGTTCAATTTTTGGTGATGGCCGGCGGTATGCTGGAATTCATTCATGTATCTGTTTGTTTGTTTGTTTGTGTTACGTTGGAACCCTTAGTCGTGCGTTCGATCAGTGGGAGTTAGCTAGATAGTAATTAGGTGTCCTCTTGCTGTTCGTTCGGTAATTAGTTTCCTTGAGCGCCCTGGTTCCTGTTATGTGCATGTATGCTTGTTTCATTGGATTTGACTTTACGATCATGATCTCCACTCAATCTGATGGAAATTTCACTTTGTAGTTCTTCTGAAGAAGACGAGGACGGAGATCTAAAGCCCGAGGAGGAAGAAAGGATGAAAAGGGACACTCTAGGCCTTGCCGATATAGCTTTGGACTATTACAACAAGAAGGAAGTAGGTTGTTTAATTTGGCTTTTCGTGTTTCTCAATTGATCGATCGATCGATCGGTACCCTAGCAGAGCTTAAATATTGTTCAATTCCCTGTTTAATTTCCAGCCTAATAAGGATCGAATCGCTTACTTGATCTCAATTATTGTTTGACGATGAACAGGGCGTGAATTATGTGTTTGACGAGCCCTTCCTTTGCCGTTGCATTCTCTTTGAACTTGTGATGGTTTTCCATTTCAATTTCACTGCCAAGGAGGGAAACAACTCTCCCATGGAGGGAAACAGCTCTCCCAGTCCGCTGTTTTTTGGTGAGGCAATCAGATACTACGGGGGAGGTTTCAACATTCTTAAATGTGTCAAGTTGGATACTTTTGGAGACAGTAAGTATAGTGCAGTTAGTTGTGTATTATATATATCGTTGATTGAAAGCTTATCATCAAATTGCTTAGCTTGTAGATGGATGGATGGACCAGGATGGATAGATATCTGATCAACTAGAACGAACTAGTTTATGATGATCGATCGATCGATCGATGCTTATTACTTACAATTTGGTGTATATATGCAGATGGTGTCCGCAATGGTTGCATCTATTGTCGGAAAGAAATCAAACATCCTCCTGTGGGAATATGTGAGTTTGGTATGAACGAGATTGATGATTACATCAACTTAGAAAGACAAATGAAAGCAAACAACACCATTCCATTCCATGATCAAGGCAAGGAAGAAGCTGACTGACTGTGACTGGCCTGCCACCATTACTGATCTCCTTCCCATACCCCAAATGCCGACCCATCGACCTGCCTGCTCAAGTAGTAAAATTCATTCCCCGCCCTATTGTTAGCTACGCTACGCACCAAACTTATATACTCTATGCAAGTGTCACGAGGTTAAGACTTTTCTACCATGTTAGTTAGTTACTCTAAAGAAGTATATGTTATTAAGCATTATGCATTACTATATATTTGTGACTGCCAAGGGATAGGATGACATTGATCTGGCCTCGGTTAGCTCTGCTACCAGCTCGGGCAAAGGATCTTTCTCCACCTTCATTTTTGGTTCATCTTCTTTCTGGACTCTGTATAAAAGAGTCTGGTTACGTTGCAACTTGGGTACTGAGGTTTATTCATCTTCCTTATGTGTACAATTAACCTTTCTTCTTTCTTGACAAGTTGCAAGTGTGTGAGAGAGAGGTGGCATTTTCACCAACTACTTCCACAATGCTTTTCATGATCCATGAGGCTTAAAGAGAGTAAAATTTTCTAATAGAATGGGTGTAACGAAATTTTCTAGTTGTAGCTAGGCTTTTTGTATAAAAATTGATATTATTATCCCGTAAACTCTTATTAACTTAATCATCCAAAACGTACAACATTTAAGAAACTTTTTATATAATGTTGAAATTTATCTGAACATCAAAATAATATCTAGTTGAATTGTTATATACCAATCTAATTATCACTATATATCTTTCTAATAAATTATCTTCAATATTCACATAATCTATTAACCGTCAAATTTTTAGTTATCCATCCATTTCACCAATCACAGGATCAAAATGACGCCTTAATTGGATCGTTTGTGAGGCTGAGCCTACCTAGTGGTATAAAAGGACTTAATTGGATCGTCAAAAAATTAAGGAAAACTTGGGGGATTCGGTGGCCTCCCTGCCAGAAAAATATATACATGGAAAAGTTGCAAAATTTCCCCCGCAGGGGAGCTGTGTCTGTGTGGTCTGTCTGCAGTCTGCACTGCATTTATCGCCGACAATCCTCTCGTCCCCGTCTCCGGCTCTCTCTCAGGTGAACCCTGGATTAATGTTTTCTTCTCTCTAAACCCTTAAGCCGATATTCCAACTTCTCATAATCTCAGTTGAATTCAATTCCCTCCTCTCATCCCCATACCTAAGGACTTCCCGCGAAAAAGAAAATGCCTTTCGCTTTCACTTTCCTCCAATCCGATCCACGTTTTGCATCGCTAAATATGCAGACTTTTAAGCAGTGTTTACGTTGATTACAACTGGCTCATGGAGTTCCAATACAATCCTTGTGGTTTCTGTTTCAATTCCTCCTGCCCGCTCTTCATAAAGCGGAAATCTTTTCCCTTTTGGTTAGTTGGAGTTAGGGTTTGGATGTGTTCGTTTTGATTGCTGGACGGGATTCGAAGTTACATCCGCTACTTGGGTTTGCTTTGCTGTTAGTTTCTCTTTGTGTGGAGCTGGTTAGAACGGAAAATGTATGGTAGAGCTGGTCTAGAGCGATTCAAGAAAGCTCAATCCTCCGAACCATTTTCAGTCTCAGTGAGCTCAGCCCCCAAACCCACCAAAGCTCAGACCTTGCAGTCTTCTTCTTCTTCCTCTGCGACCAACTCTTCAGTTCGATGTCTGCAAACAAATGTTGCTCAAAAGCCTGCTGTGCCAGAGGCAGGGCCATTGGCAGGTCTTGCTGCTCAGCAGCAGATTCAGGTTGGAGGTGGGCAGTCTACTTGGCAGCCACCGGACTGGGCGATCGAGCCTCGGTCGGGGGTTTATTATCTCGAAGTGTTGAAGGATGGCGAGGTTATGGACCGGATTAATCTCGATAAGAGGAGGCAAATATTTGGAAGGCAATCCATTACTTGTGATTTTGTGCTTGACCATCAGTCTGTGTCTCGTCAACATGCTGCTGTTGTCCCTCACAAAAGTGGAAGGTTTGTCTCTCTAAACCGTCTCTCGTGTATTGAATTAGGCATTAGGGCAATCCATATCCTATTAGAATAGCTATCTAGTTAACAGAACTAGCTCTCATACATTGAGAAGGATTCAGTAGAACTTAGGTTGATTTGGTGATTTGACATGCCTCTTTTCAGAGGATGCTTATTTAGATGTTCTGTATTCTGCTTAACGAAGAGAATGTTTTGGCTGAATTCTTCAAGTGGAACAGTGTAAAACTATAGTTTCTATATAGATCAAACAGTTGGTAGAATTATGAATTGCAGAATCATAGGATTCTAAGGGTTCGTGTGAGATAGCTTATTTAGAGGTTCTGTATTCTGATAAACGAAGAGGATCTTTTGGCTGAATTCTTCGAGTGGAACGATGTCAAACTATAGATTCTACATAGATCAAACAGTAGGCGGAATTAGGAACCGCAGAATCATAAGATTCTAAGGGTTCGTGCGAGATAGCTATAAATTTTTATACTTTCGTTCATTTTGGGGTGATTAAGATCAGTTTGTTGCGAAGCAACAAAATTATAAACTATTACAATTTCCCAAAACAATATATTGATCTTATCCATATTCTATATATACAAGGCTTAACCTTGTTAGATACCCGATCATCAAACCAGGATAAAAGCTTATAAAAGCTTAAATTCTACCTCTGATTCTGCTGGTAAAAGCCTTATATTCCATGAACAATAGCTGTTATGAGTTCACTTGGGACTAGTAATTGATTTGTCTCCTTCGATGTGGTTTATTGACTTTTGCAGCATCTATGTAATTGATTTGGGATCTGCTCATGGCACATTCGTTGCAAATGAGAGGTTGACAAAAGACACACCTATGGAGCTCGAAGTTGGGCAGTCCTTGCGCTTTGCTGCTTCAACTAGAACCTATGTTCTAAGAAAGAATGATGCAGCTTTATTCACAAGCCTCCCACCTCCTACAGAGATCATCTTACCACCATCCCCCGATCTAAACGACGAAGAAGCAGTTGTAAATTACAACACTCAGATAAATCGTTATGGTCTGGAAAAGCTTTCTGAGCTCCCAGACTTCAAACCTAGTAGTCATCTAATCAGAAAAAAATGCGACAGCCAGCAGCAGTCTGAGAGAGATGCAAAGAGGAGAAAGAAAGCAAGAGTTGTGTTCAAAGATCACGTTGGTGGTGAGCTGGTAGAGGTTGTTGGGTTTTCAGATGGTGTAGATGTAGGGACGGAGTCTGGACCGATTGGGGTCAAAGAAGGAAGTCTCGTGGGGAGATACGAATCTCTTGTGCAGAGTGTGGTCATACCAAAAGGGAAAGAAGTGTCTTCTTCATCATCAAAGGAGAGTAGTGGTCTTTTGCAGCAAGGGGTTACTAACAAGCTGCAAGAAGTGTTGACTAAGGTCAAAACAGCTCCAGCTCAGCAGAAGGGGTTGTATGACAGCCTTTATGACGAGTCGTTTTCTGGCAAACTAGGTTCATCTTGGGCGAGTTCTTCTGTCAAAGATGGTCAGGCAAAGGCTAGCAGTGGTTCGAGTGAAAACTCTCGGAGTAAGTTGAGCTCGTATGATGATGATGAAGATGATTTGTTTGGAGACTAATCAAGGGAATCCATCTAGAGGTATGTTTTAGCTTACTTTTTATATTTGAACTGAAGAGGAGTGTGAGAGATTGATTGTTTTAGCAATTGTTGTGAAGCTGAAGCAGCCTTCAGACCCCGGGCTCTTTTGTACATGGGGAAACTTTTGGTTGTAGGTTCATCATGGGCAAGCTTTTGTTTGTAATTTGGGGTATGATGTACTTTGAAGGTTTAATTCAAGCTCTGGTGCATTTCTCAGAGGAAAGGAATGAGATCAAATTGTGCCACTTCTGATTGGTTTTAGCTATATATAGAACTCCATTCTAAGTAACCTGATGTACTTTTGATCATATTCTGTTCCTCATCTTTCTGCTATTTCGATCTAGTTCTTATATCGAATAATTTTGCTATTCTCAGTCCAGTCCTTATTGATTAATACCTAAAACTCATAGTAGCTCACTATGGTCCTTTGTACATAAATAGAGGTTATGCGCTGTAACCATAGCCGTAAAAAAAAACTGTGATTTAAGCATGAAATGGACAGCCATGGATCTGTTAGAAACAAAGTTTCTAACGGTTGTGGAATTGGGGAAATTAGCTAGATCAATTAGGGATTGATCAAGCTAGGGATTGGGAATAGGAGATTTTAGGAAGAAGAGAAGGGAAAAGGGGGCTGCTGCTGATCAGCCAAGGAGGAAGAGAGAGAAGGGGGGGGGGGGGGTCGGCGCTAGAGAGAGAGAGAGTAGTTTTAGGTTTTCTGATATTGATTGCTTAATCTCCAAAATAACACCTACTGCAGATTATATAATCCGCTAATTCCCTAACTGCTACCCAATTAATAAAATGTCACAACCCACTCCCTGCTTATTGCTAAATACCCCAAATAATCCCCCAATTATCAAAGACCGACAATAATACGAAATAACAAAAAACTGCAAATTGTTTGTTTCTAACATCCCCGCCTCCTTGGGAAGCAACCTTGTCCTCAAGGTTGCGGCTTCTCCTGCTCCGCTCCTAAGTCCTCTGCAATCTCGTCCTCGGCCTTGTCTTCCCAACGCCCCACCAGGAACATCAAATCAGGCTTCCTGCATTTGTGACCAAAGGTGAACCTCTCATCACAGTTAAAACATTTCCCTTCACGCCTCTTATGCTCGATCTCAGCAGGAGATAGCCTAGTAAATCCCTTGGGTGGTGGCCTCGGTCCTGCTCGAATGGCCGCAGAGGGTGGACCAGTCGCCGCACCCCCTCCCGTGCTCGGACCCGCCCCGCTGCTAGGCCCACTACCAGTGCCTCCGCCGCTCGGCTTCTGATATCGGCCTATCACTCCTCGGCAGCTGGCCAGCTCCTCCTCCTTATTACCTGCAAGACGGAAAACAGGTCGAAGTGAATCGGGCTCAAACACCCGAACCGCCGCTGCAATCTCCGGACGGAGTCCCGCCATGCAAAGGCCCACCAATGTCTCCTCCGGCACGCCCTTGCATTGGTTACCCAATTTGAAGAACTCAGCTCTATACTCTGCCACCGTCCCTGTCTGGCGCAGCTTGGCCAACTGCTCTGGAGCCCACCCTTCAGACTTGCCGAACTGATACTTCAGCTCCTCTTTGAACATAGGCCAAGTGATTAGCGTATGAGCTTCAGCATATGTCCGCTCCATCCACTCCCACCACTGCAATGCATCCCCCTCCAAATAGAAAGACGCCAGCTGAGCCTTCCGTTCTTCCCTAGTGGAATGGTTCTTGAACCACCGTTCCGCGGAGTATATCCACAGACCTGCATCCTCCCGACCATTGAATTTTGGAAACTCAATGGTAGGAGGTTTAGCTCTAAACACCATGTCGTCTTCATCCTCACCTCCCCGGGAATAACCGGCGTGCCTCCCATATCCCTGGGCCCCACTGTGATAGTGCTGCGAAAATCGAGGTTCCCCTGCATATTCCCAGTCGTCTTCTTCCTCCTCCTGATATCTCATTCTTCGGCCCAACTCATTTCTCTGCCTTTGATCACCTGTTCCCGCCCTCATGGGTTCCTTACCGGTGCCTCTCTGATTCACAAAAGGAGGTTGGGTGCCACTGTACTCGTCGAACTGGCCTTGGAGAGCTGGGAATCCCCTGCTGCCCGCCCCCCTGCACGTCCTAGCTGCTGCCCCGGTTCGACCATGGTACGGCCCGGTTCGGTCAGACTGGGTTCGGTCCAACCGGGTTCGATCCGTCCTGGTTCGGTCCGACCGGCCTCGACCCTCCCGGGTTCAATCCGCCCGCTAGGGGCCCGGCTCGGCCCCGCTTGGCCCACATACTCGCCCCGGCCCGCTGGACCCCGGCCCATGGCGCTCGGCCGCCCCATTTCCCAGCCGCGGCCCACCTCTCGCCGTCCTCCACCTGACCCGCCTTCCAGCCCAGCTCGGCCCACCTGGCTTCCTTCATCCCTTTTGTAATCCACCCCTGGCCCATACAACTCGTTAGGCCAAGGCCCGTGATCATACTCCTGCTCCAGGCCCATCAACTCTTCCTCGTCCAGGCCCGCTTGCAGATCCGGTTCCACGTACTCTGTCATCTTGGCCTTGCCCCGCGCGCGCGCCCTCTCTTGGACTGATGGGGTCGGTAGTAGCCCATCTTTGACTGATGGGCCGAAAGAGACTTGGCCCGCACGCGACCCGGTTGGCCGGCTAGGGTTGACCGCCGCACCGCTCTTCTCGCCCGAGCCGCCCGCCGCCTTGTCTGCCGGAGGCCGCGCGGCGCCTTGGCCGCCGAGCTCCCCTACCGAGGCGGAGCCTTCCCCCCGCGCGCCTTCCTCCACCTGCGGCTGGTCGCCACCGCCAGCTCCGGCCCCGCCTTTCCTCCAGGCCTCCGTCAGGCTGCTCACCTGCCCCTGCAGAGCCTCCACCGCCGCCAACAAGGCATCGAGGGTGCGGCCGTGATCCCTAGCCCTCACCTGCAGCCTATTCAACTCCTCCTCCACCCGCGCTTGCCTCTCCGCTTGAGTCTCCACGACGTTCTTCAGCTCCTCGATCCCCGTCAGATCTTCCACCGCCCCGTCGACCCCTCTGTCACCTGCATCGGCGCCCTTCTCACCTGCCTGGGCCGCCTTTTCCGCCTTCTCTGTTGCCTTCATGGATTTCGTTGATACCATTGTTATCTTCCCTGGTTCAAGAGCTCAAAAGAACTCACTCTCGAGCCAGGCTCTGATACCAGATGTTAGAAACAAAGTTTCTAACTGTTGTGGAATTGGGGAAATTAGCTAGATCAATTAGGGATTGATCAAGCTAGGGATTGGGAATAGGAGATTTTAGGAAGAAGAGAAGGGAAAAGGGGGCTGCTGCCGATCAGCCAAGGAGGAAGAGAGAGAAGGGGGGGTCGGCGCTAGGGAGAGAGAGAGAGTAGTTTTAGGTTTTCTGATATTGATTGCTTAATCTCCAAAATAACACCTACTGCAGATTATATAATCCGCTAATTCCCTAACTGCTACCCAATTAATAAAATGTCACAACCCACTCCCTGCTTATTGCTAAATACCCCAAATAATCCCCCCAATTATCAAAGACCGACAATAATACGAAATAACAAAAAACTGCAAATTGTTTGTTTCTAACAGGATCTCATTTCCAAGAGTTGTGAGCAAACTTTCCCTTTCTTGAGATGTTGAAATGTCCTCTCACAAATACTCAACCTAACTAACAGAAACAGAAACAACTAAAGTGGAGAGTCAGAGTGATGGATTACATCGTGGATCTCTTTTTCCTTCTCCAAGCAAAGAGCATGTTTATGGAATAAACACCATCTTTAGTTTGTTACAACACAACACTACGAGATGCTTTCAAGAGGAATCTTGAATAGAAAAGCAAGAAGCCAAAGGGGGGAATAGGGAGGAAGGAATATTGCTGTGGAATGCATAGACAAGACAAGAAACCTTCCACACACGCAAATCCCTCGACAGCATCAAAACACATATATATATAAGAAGAAGAAGGCAACTTTATTGGGTGGGATTTATGTAAGAGAGACTACTGAATTGAATGTTGTTGGTGGTGGGTGGTTTGCTGCCTTGAAGATATTTGGTATGAGACTGAGAGGGACTGAGGGAGTGGTACCGTGGAACCCTAGCTAGGCTATACCCATTAGGGCCTCATTTGGGCAATTTGGTTTGGAGTAGATATTGACTAGCTAGTCTAATTTCTCTTCAAGCTTTACACATGTAGTTGGTGACAACCCATTGTCACCCCCCACCCCCCATCTCCTTCCTCCTCTATTTGCTTGTTGAAAACTTTTGGAATCGTTGAGTGAGGAGTAGTTCTTACGTTTTGATTAACTCGAAAATGTCGACAAAGATTTAAAAACTGGCATCCATTTATTTCCAGATCGTATATAATCGAGGCCTCTCACTTCGTTTCGTTCTTCTTTCTGTATTGTCGCTTGAATGAAGACACGACATTAATGTCTGCACACTAAACTTGAAGTTTATATGATAATCCTTATGTATGTCTCTTATACTTCAACCATTCGGTACTTATTAGGATTAAAAACCCAAATCTCATAATAAACAAACACTATGATATCATGTCAGGAACTCACCCCATCTTCATAAATGGAGTCTTTATTGCAGTTACTAAAAGTAATTCATCTGTTTAGGTGTTATTTCAACCGGATGAGATTTGCACATGAAAATTTGGATCAAAGGAAATAATGTTCATCTTTTATTGTTGGGATGGAATGCTACAACCAATGTAGTCAAAATTGCGCTTTAAAACTGAAAAATATATGATTTTACGTGTCTAGATCACTAAAACGCTTCTACACAAAATCTCAGTTTTATAACTTATGTAGTTAGAAACTCCGCTTTAAAACTTAAAAACTTACGATTTTACGCTTCTAAGTCACCAAAACGTTTCTACGTAGAAACTCGCTTTTGACTACATTGGCTACAACCAACGATGGAAAGTTGGGATTGGGTTCCAACTGTCTAGCTAGCTACCTGGTACTCTATTTCAAGGGCGAATTGCTGCCTTGTGTCTATGTTGACTTGTTGGCTCTTTGGCTTGGATTGTCCTAGTAGGGACCTTTGTTTGCTCATTTTGCAGGTGAAGATTCAATTGCACAATAGTCAATCGGTGGCGGCTGTCTTGTCCACTAGGTGGCCTTTAGATGAGATTTGATGGAGCACTTGGAAATGACTCCCCTGATGTTGAAGCAACCCCTTGAACACTTTTAATATTTAGTTTGATGGTGCGGTCAAGCATAGTCACGAAGGTAGTATTGGCTTCGTGGGTTTCCAATCGTCAGGTAATATTTTCTTTGCTTTCGGAAAGTGTTATGAAGGATTACAAGATCTATTTGTTATACTGGAGGCCATACAGTGGTGCCTGACACATTCCTTTGTCTCTGTCAAATTTCATGGGGATTCACAACAATTGATACGGCGGGATGGTGGGAGGCGACTTGGCGCATGATCGGGGTGGAGCTCTATTCGAGGATACTCGGAGCTTAGTTTCTCACTTCGGTCGGTTTTGTTACTGCTTTGTTTCTCGTCGACTAAATAGGGCTGCCCATCATGTGGCACAAAAGGCCCTCTCATCGTGAGTTCGACTATTGGTCGACTCCCGCGTTTTCCTTTCTTCCTCCTTGTCCTTGTGACTATCTTTTCAACACTGACTTTGAAAAAAAAAAACAATGGAATAATGATAGAGAGACCGAAAAAGAGGAGCTAGGGTTTGGAGTGGAGTGATTCTCCATCGAACTACTTCACTTGGATGATTCATTTGACTCTTTAGGTTGCCTTGTCGGCCGCAACATAGTTACACTACACATGTGCTTTTCATTTGGAATCTACTTCTTCCATCCCCACGATGGTTAGGCTATACTTCTGTTACAAGTTAAAAGATGGTTTGGCTTTTCTTGCTAATTAATCACACTTCCATGCTAATTACATTAGTAATCGTTCGACTTCATAGGAAGATTTTGCATGCATGTGTACAGTGTATAAGAAGGCATTTCAGTTGGTTATTTGGTTACATCCTTCTGGGTTGGTTATCCGGACAATCGATAACTACCACAAACCAACTGATCCCAATAACTCAACTGGTTGATTAGCTAGGGAACTTAGGTTCTTTGTATCTCGGTTCGATACTTGTTGAAAGAGTGGTTTTGGGAAGCTAGATGACTCTACAACTGCAGAATTTATGTGGGAGATCTATGGATATTTAGTTCGCTGGAATCAACTAACATGTTTAAGGTGACTTATTGAATAAAGATTCTTCAAAACTGAAAGTGAGAACTTAGATAAACTTAAGAGTATCGTTCAACTTGTGCATGTGAAGTCTAAAAGAAAATATACGAGGCCAAATCCACACCGTGAGGAGCGTACATGTTTAAATGGAAAGAGAGACATAACCAGAAAGTTGTCTTTAGAATTATAGTATTTAATCTCTTGAGGGAAGGTAATTTCTTTTCAAGTTAACCATAATTTTCACCGTGATCATTACTTCTATCCAAGTAATTGATAATTACTTTGATTAGATCATGTTGTACTATGATCAATGTTTTGGCCAAACTTCACACCTAACGAAGTGGGTTCACTATATGTGGGGGGAGAATGGGTATAGATGGACATCAATCTTGTTGATTAAGCCTTAGTTTAATCTCTCTCCTTTTGCAATTAGGTGGACACCTTTTGCTTTGATAATTGATTATCATGGTACCATCAATCCTCAACTCCAAAAGGAGATGTCAAAAGGTTAAATTTTTCATACAAGAATTATTTTGATAGTAATGATGGTGGCTTGGTTATAAATTGGTCATGTAAATAATCTCTCATCACTTCTTGTCAACAACAAAAAAAAAAATCTCTTATCACCAATCACTTTTCCCTTTGTCATTGGTGCATAATTTTAAGCTATGGACTAGCTAGGTGGCCCATAGGCCTTTCTTTGGTTTTCATGCATCTTTTACCATGGTGAAAGAGATTAGAAGAATAAGAGAAATTACAATCACAAAAAGAAACTAATAGTGGAAATCACATCAACTTCAGATATTATTGTCTTGGATTGACATTTGTGCTCAAGATTTGGACGATTATTTAGATAATCTTAGCATTTTCTCTTATTGCAGGAGATAATTAGAGATAGTGATGAGGTTGTCTACTCGTGAATAGTTATTTATTTGCATTTTCTTTGTCAAATCATATGATCTTAATGTAACTAAAATAACATTTCAAAAGTGAGACAATTCTAATGCAAGTTGAGATTGATATAATTATCAATATATAACTTGGATATATGGATTGGTCTGATTTTGGACTTTTTATATCGAACGATACTACGATAGTAAGAAAACACTATTTGGTATAATGAACTAACTTTAACTACACAACTTTTGTTTTTGAAAACACTATACATGTATTGTTTGTATATAAAAATCAGAAAAAACAATGAGTTGAAACCATACAAATATTGTAACATTCTCATCTAAACAATGACAGAAACTAAACGACCCAAAAAAGGGATTAGAAGTGGTCCAGAGAGTTGTTATTATAATAATGTTTGTGATGGAAAAAAAGCATCTTGTGACTCCATAAGTTGAAACATTGTGACATCTACTTCAACTTGAGATGAAAGTAGAGGATGTGTGAAGGCCCCATGCATTTGTGTAAAATAATTAATATTCTCTATCACTAATCTCCTACATTTTTCTTCTCTTCTTCTTCCAAAAGCCAACATTTCATCTTCTTCCTTTCATTATATTGGCCCTTTCAAATCAAGTGGGTAGGCAAGGGAGCAAAGAAGAGATTGATGGACTCAAGGGGAAGATTTTGTACATAACACAAACAACCACACGCATGAAAAGAAGAATCCTCAACCAATCAACAAACTGGAGAAGTAGAAATTCAACTGAAATTGATGAACACAACCCTCTAGTATGTGGCTTAGTTGTAAGGATACAACTCGATTGGATTTGTTCTTTGTCAAACAGTCTAATTACTATTTACAACTAGTAATACAATACCATTTGTATCTTCTTCGAGATAAAGAATGATATTATGAAGTTTTTTTTTAATGGTGAGAATGAAATCGTAATATTTTAATAACAGTTTCATAATAATCGAAGATTATTATTATTAGGTTAATGAAATATACAAGATAACTGAAAGAAAAAATTTAGCTGATAAGAAAGTAAGAAACCATACATATTATTCTATTCTAGAGCCAAAAACATCTCAATAAGTATCACTAATGAAAACTAAACATAATAAACTAAACACCCAAAAAAATTTATCGAATAATCATAATTACTCACTTATGTAATGAGGTACATGCACTTTCAACCAACAAAATTAAGAAATGCACATGGAACACATATATTAGACGCTTCTCAACAATGTTTCATCATCAGTCTTCTATATATCGATTAGAATATATATGTTGCTTACAAAGCCGAACAAAGGGCTTTTGGATGTGTAACCTAGCTAGCTAGAACCCTAACTACTACCAACAACTTCCATTAGTCCACGAACAAGCACAACAATTGCCTTGATCGAACAGACGACAACAAGAGAGGACACGTGGCCGACATGCAAATCAGAAGAGCAAGAGAAGGATAGGAGGTGAAGAATATACCATCAAGATAGTGGGGGGAAGCATGATGAAGAGATGAATTTGCAACAGAGGATCCTTTAATTTGTTTTTGTTGTTTCATTTGTTTGTACATTTTCCTACCCTATATATGAACCCCACACCAACATAAAGATGGTGGAATGGAAGTGGAAAGAAAGAAACAAACAAATTGGACACACACAATATTGTTTTTATGAAATTAAAAGAGAGAAAGTAAAATGAAAGATCATCAATCTCTCTCAAGCAAATAGCAAATTGCCACCCACTTGCAATTTTTGATGCCTGCTTGTGGGTTGGGGATCTTTTTACTATTAGTTTAGTATCGATCATGAAGTTTTTGCTATCACATTTCAAATTAAACAAAGTATTATGAGAAGAGAAGATAGTGTGCTTTTATTCTCTTTTCAAATGATTTTGATTTTCGATTAAACTATTTGAGGACATATACCTATAAAAATTTAATAATAATTTTTCCAGTTCAGATTTGAGAAATTTTCAATATTATTTTAACAATTACGAATTTGTTGGTAAATGATAAGTTAAACATTTTTATAATCTAGTATTTGAGATCTTATTATGTCAAGGCAATACAACAAGCTACATCAATTGAGTTTACTCATTCATAAAAGTATCTATAAAAAGTTATGATTTAGTTCAATAGTGTTTGTAACCTCAATTACTTTTAAAAATTGGAAATTGGAAAAAATTATTAAATTGCTCATTCATTCTCATAAAACCCACAACTCTTGCTGACTAATCTCATCAAGCCACTCTTCCTCTCACCCTCTTTCCCAATATTCTTGGGGGTGAGGCATTAAAAGGAGTCTCCTATCGTAATGTCACACACCAAAAACCCACAAACCATTCCATTCCACTCCACCACCTCAAAGTTCCTTCCTTTTTCACCAAAAAATAAAAAAGTTCCTTCCTTTTTCTCTTCCATTTCCCCTCTCACCTCATCCATCGTCCCTTTACTCTCTTCCCTGAGTTCCATGCATGAACATTCGTTCCTTTCGTAAACCCATCTCCAATTTTGGTCGTGAGTTCCTCATCTCGTAGTAAATTGCTCCTGTAACAGATATCAGAGCATACTCTGTAGCCGCCGCCGCCTCTGGGAACTGGGCTCTGATCAGGAATCCGCCGCCGGCAGTGGCAGGGGACGCCGTTGTAGGCTGGGCCTGGGGAATTTTGATGATCGGCGGTGGCGGGTGGCTCGCAGCTATATCCACGCATTTCATTTGGTAGATGCTTGGCGCCAAACTCTACAGTGCCTATCAGGTGTTTGTGGTAAGTTCCCTGTGAGTGAAATTTCTTGTTTGTTTCTGCTGTGTGTACTGTTTATGTTTTTTTTTTTTTTTTGGTTCAAGAATTTGGTAATGGCTTCTAATTAGCTTCTGTAGGGATATGTAATTGAGGGGTTTGATTTGATTGACCAATAGAAACCAACATCTGGCTTGGTCTAGTTATAATTGTCTCCCCACTCAAACAGCCAAAACATAAGCCTCCAAGGTGCTCTTTTGTTCTGTTCTATGCAGTAGGAGATTCTGCCAATACATTGCTACAGTACAGGGTGGGGGAAATGATATATTGGATTATTGTTTGTTAATATATAATGGAAAAAGAAACAAACTTTACTGCATCGTGTTCTTTTCTGAAGACAGAAAAAAATTCTATCAGGACATGGACAAGGAGAAAAGCTTTGAAAACTCTCTGGGTCCTTATTGACAACTTTTCCTCTTTATCAAAGTTCAAAAGTTGAGCTGCTAACAGAAGCAGCTAAAGTCTGCATATTCCCAGTGTGGTTTTGGCCTTTGGGATTGCTAGCATCCAATAATAATTAAAATATATATTGTGATGTCCATGATTCTGGGTTGATGACCATGCATGACATAATCATTTCAATTCTTTTTATTGCTTTTTTCTTATAGTTTCTGTATTGTGTTGAGACCTTGTGAAGCTGGCTGGCTATTGCTTTTTTCTTCTAGTTTTTGTATTGAGGTTGAGAACTTGTGAAGCTGGCTGGCTATTTCTGAATAGTAAAGCCAAAGTTGGTTAGTTTTCAGTTTTCTTGTTAAGAACCAACCCTTGGCCTTTTTCTTCAATGACTTTTTTTCTTCAAGGACTTGATGCTTTGCTATATCAGCTCTGGCAGCTTCCTTTATTTTTCTAACCCATGGCTTAGGTTTCCAACCAATGAATGGTGGTTAAAGCACCCTGGACCAATATATTTGCTAGTACCAATCTTCTTTGGACCACCTAAAGACAATGATTATAAACCGAATTTCTTCCATCCTGAAAAGGAGGGCAATTGGTGGGTGCATAGAAAGATATATATCAGATATGTACGAAGGATGGTGGTTTCTCTTTTGATCGTCTCAATTGTGGGAAGTAACATTATACTTAAGTTTCTGCTACCTACTATGGCATTCAATGGAAAGCTAGCAGCCCATTCTGCTCCACCTTCCCTTCCTTCTTTTAGCCATCATGTCCAAGTTGCCTGAGTCCCTTGAGGTGGGCACAAAAGTAACTTCATCCTTTCGCTCAACCTTTGTTGTGCCATTGTTTATGTGGATGTCATGCTTAACCATGCATCCATCCAAACCTTATTAGAGTAGGATCTAACTATTTTAGCAAAATGGGACAGTGATGTTAATGCTTCCTATTCATACACCAGGTGACCACAACCTTTTTTCTGGTTCCATACTGCTGCTCCATCATTTATGATCCTTAGGCCACCAAATAGTCATTGTGTGACACCTCAACCTTTTTTTCCTCCATATTATACCGTGCATTTATTTCTTCTTGCTTCTTGTATGTTTTTCTCCTTGTTAAACTTTTCCCTCTTTGGTAGACATTCCATAGCTCCAATTTTACTTTGTTTCCAATCTTTTCATCAAAACTCCTAGAGAAGGTTTGTTCTGAATTGGAATTTAAGCATTATTGTTATTATTTTCTTATGATGGTGAAGGCTGACTAAGAACCAATAATCTAATAATGGGGAGAAAAATTTCATGCTGTGGCCTGTGAATTGGATTTGTCGTTTGTATTAAGGAGTAGGGAATCATAATCATAGTAATGCTTCTAGCTTGCTGTGAAGTAGACAGCACAAAAAAAGTCAAATGTTGAGTTAGGTAGGCATCTTCCTCCATTCGGTTCGGTTTAGATGTTCATAATGTTCAATGAAAACTTGGAAGGTCAAGTTCAGTATGTTAGTTAGATCTTTAATGGTATGGAAATGTCATATTAGTTGCCAATAATCACATGTAAATAACTTTCCTGTGTGGTTGGTCAGTAGTATTGCTTTCACTTCAATCTTCCACCCTTAATTGCAAGTATGCGCATATGGTTGTCACATTGGTATTATTTTGTTGGAATGTACTCATCAGTCACCAACATTCATAAGAACAATTTACAGTATCAAAATAGAAAATAACATTTTGACTGAAATTTAAGAACTATGGATGCTATTGTCTGCTTGAGTGATTGCTGATGCATATTAAAAGATTTATTAATGCACACGACCGTTTTTTTGCTGCCAAAAGACAAGGGGGTTAAATCTGACCTCAGTTCCCAGAACTTTCAGTTTCTTTGTTTGAAGTGTGTCAGGAGTTTATAGCACAAGGGTGCAAAATGTACACTAGCAGTCAAAAGAAGAGCTATTTAATGCAACTCCAAACCCATATTTTTTTCAACTTCTTTGTAAGCTCCGCAAGAGCTTCATATGGCATTGCATGCACATAAGTCTTAAAGCCAAATGACCCGAATTTCTTTTCTATTGGACAGGTGAACCTACCACGTTCTGTGTCTGGAAGGTTTTTTTACGGACTGGTGAAGATGATGGCCTCCTTTTTGGCCTAAACTTAAAGAAGAGGTAAGGTCTCTTTAATTTTGTCCGTGAATTTTGAAGATGAATTATTCTCGAGTTGCTACACAATTTGCCATTTTCTCTCTTCCCTTTGTTCATACATATGATGATGAACAAATTCCCTAGAAATTTTAGCCAACTGGTGTTGCCGGCCGCTACTAGATCAGCCCAGTTTTTGTCCCCTTTCCAATGGATTGCTTCTAAACTTTTGCCTATCATATTTCTGTCTTACCTCTTCAAACTTGGGGACCCAGGAAGATTCAATAAAGAAGTTAAATGAAACTGCAGTTGCAAGTTTGATTTTTTACAGAAACAGTGGATTTTTATTTATTTATTTATTTTCTTTTTTGAGAAAATTCTTTAAGCCAAAAATTTCATCTTCTCATCTCACTCTATGTTGTCACCAGAAACTGTTTCAGTCAAAGGCCATTAGATAGCTGTTCCTTGGATGATTGTGCATACTGAGCCGCTAGATGCCAACCAGTCCCTTCTCAAACTCACCTTTTCTCATCCTAATCTTCTCTGTCTTTCTTTCTTTAAGATTGTGGGGGAGCAAAGTCACAGTAAAGGTGGTTAATTTCTTCAAGATAAAGCATATTGCTGGCTGGCACCAGCCCTCTTAATTGATTCTAGGAAAAGAAGACTCCCAGAAAAATGAAGTTTATGAAACTTGGAACCCGGCAAGATACCTTCTATACAGAAGAGGCTACAAGGTATATTACTGACTTACTGAATCTTCCAAAAGAGCATCAGAATCAGGAAATTCTTATGATAAGTGAAGCTGACTGCAAAGCTATATCTACTCGGATATTTTGAATTCGCTTTCGAAATGCAGGTCCTTAGCATCAGAAATCTCCAGTGACCTTGAAATCAGAATCAACGGCATTACTTACCTGCTCCACAAGGTACGAATTGATGAAAAAGCCACAATGCTATCATCTAGATTTTGGTATCCCTATACTCACAACTGATTTCGCTGTTCTTAGCTGCAGTTTGCACTCCTTCCAAGATGTGGGCTCTTACAAAGACTCTGTTCTGGTACTCCTGAACCTACCACTGTTACAATGGAGCTCCATGACATTCCTGGAGGGGAAGAAGCATTCGAACTCTGTGCCAAGTACTGCTATGGAATTACGATCAGTCTCAGTGCCCATAACTTCGTGCAAGCATACTGTGCTGCTAAGTTCCTTCGCATGACAGAATCGGTCGATCAAGGCAATTTTGTGCTTAAGCTCGAGGCTTTCTTCAACTCTTGCATCCTTGAAGGTTGGAAGGACTCCATCATGGCTCTCCAGACAACTGTGAAGCTGAATGAATGGTCCGAGAATCTGGGGATCATCAGGAGATGCATCGACTCCATTGTTGATAAAATCCTCATGCCTCCTGCTAAGGTTGGTTCTGGCAGGTTTCTATCATCTCCCCGTCTTTTCATTGTTTTAGTGACCATTCAGCCATTTTACGCCTTCAAAAACTTCCTCCCTATTTGCTTGCAACTATTTGGTGACCAAAACATTGCAGGTCAGATGGTCATATACTTACACAAGACCAGGGTTCAACAAGCACGAGCAATCCGTCCCAAAAGATTGGTGGACAGAAGACATATCAGACCTCGACATAGACCTCTTCAGATGCATCATTACAGCTCTGAAATCAACGTACATGCTGCCGCCACAGCTCATTGGAGAAGCATTACACGTGTACGCGTCTCGTTGGCTTCCAGACGCCACGAAAACTCGCCCTTTGGAAAGCTCAGAGCCGAGAGAAGTAGTCTCAGACAAGGAAAGTCAGAGAAGAGTCCTTGAAACCATCGTGAGCATGATCCCAGTCGACAGAGGCTCAGTCTCCATCGGCTTTCTTCTCAGGCTTCTTAACACTGCAAATTACCTGGCCACGTCTCCTGCTACAAAGGCAGAGCTCATAAGGAGATCAAGCGTGCAACTTGAGGATGCAAATTTGAGTGACTTATTGTTCCCTTCACATTTGGGTCAGCAGGTTTATGATATTGACTCAGTTGTAGCTGTGCTTGAGAGTTTCTTGGTGGTTTGGAGACGTGTGTCGCAAGAAGCTTCTGTGGAAGAGAGTCAGGTTGTGGCATCGATTAGGAGGATTGGAAAGCTTGTTGATTCTTACCTTCAAGTGGTGGCAAAAGATCCCGACATGCCCTTGTCAAAGTTTGTTTCTCTTGCTGAAGCTCTGCCAGATGTTGCAAGAAGAAACCACGATGAGCTTTACAAGGCCATCAACAACTATTTGAAGGTATGGCTCATATCTCATAAAAAAAAAGTTCGGTTAAAAGTGTAATTTCTCATTGCACCGATGGCCAATGAGGGGAAGGGAGGTTGCGTTGGAATCGTGTGACCGAGAGGAACGCCATAGACTTGGAATTTGCAATAAAAAAGGTCTCTAAAGAAATTTCATTTTTTCACCAAATAGGCTTGTGGACTCACGAAAAGTTCGGTTAAAAGTGTAATTTCTCATTGCACCGATGGCCAATGAGGGGAAGGGAGGTTGCGTTGGAATCGTGTGACCGAGAGGAACGCCATAGGGCTGGAATTTGCAAGAAAAAAGGTCTCTAAAGAAATTTCATTTTTTCACCAAATAGGCTTGTGGGCTAACGAAAAGTTCGGTTAAAAGTGCAATTTCTCATTGCACCGATGGCCAATGAGGGGAAGGGAGGTTGCGTTGGAATCGTGTGACCGAGAGGAACGCCATAGAGTTGGAATGTGCAAGAAAAAAGGTCTCTAAAGAAATTTCATTTTTTCACCAAATAGGCTTGTGGACTCACGAAAAGTTCGGTTAAAAGTGTAATTTCTCATTGCACTGATGGCCAATGAGGGGAAGGGAGGTTGCGTTGGAATCGTGTGACCGAGAGGAACGCCATAGAGTTGGAATTTGCAAGAAAAAAGGTCTCTAAAGAAATTTCATTTTTTCACCAAATAGGCTTGTGGACTCACGAAAAGTTCGGTTTAAAGTGCAATTTCTCATTGCACCGATGGCCAATGAGGGGAAGGGAGGTTGCGTTGGAATCGTGTGACCGAGAGGAACGCCATAGAGTTGGAATTTGCAAGAAAAAAGGTCTCTAAAGAAATTTCATTTTTCCACCAAATAGGCTTGTGGGCTCACGAAAAGTTCGGTTAAAAGTGTAATTTCTCGTTGCACCGATGGCCAATGAGGGGAAGGGAGGTTGCGTTGGAATCGTGTGACCGAGAGGAACGCCATAGAGTTGGAATTGGCAAGAAAAAAGGTCTCTAAAGAAATTTCATTTTTCCACCAAATAGGCTTGTGGGCTAACGAAAAGTTCGGTTAAAAGTGTAATTTCTCGTTGCACCGATGGCCAATGAGGGGAAGGGAGGTTGCGTTGGAATCGTGTGACCGAGAGGAACGCCATAGGGTTGGAATTTGCAAGAAAAAAGGTCTCTAAAGAAATTTCATTTTTTCACCAAATAGGCTTGTGGGCTAACGAAAAGTTCGGTTAAAAGTGTAATTTCTCGTTGCACCGATGGCCAATGAGGGGAAGGGAGGTTGCGTTGGAATCGTGTGACCGAGAGGAACGCCATAGAGTTGGAATTGGCAAGAAAAAAGGTCTCTAAAGAAATTTCATTTTTCCACCAAATAGGCTTGTGGGCTAACGAAAAGTTCGGTTAAAAGTGTAATTTCTCGTTGCACCGATGGCCAATGAGGGGAAGGGAGGTTGCGTTGGAATCGTGTGACCGAGGGGAACGCCATAGACTTGGAATTTGCAAGAAAAAAGGTCTCTAAAGAAATTTCATTTTTTCACCAAATAGGCTTGTGGGCTAACGAAAAGTTAGGTTAAAAGTGCAATTTCTCATTGCACCGATGGCCAACGAGGGGAAGGGAGGTTGCGTTGGAATCGTGTGACCGAGAGGAACGCCATAGAGTTGGAATTTGCAAGAAAAAAGGTCTCTAAAGAAATTTCATTTTTTCACCAAATAGGCTTGTGGGCTAACGAAAAGTTCGGTTAAAAGTGCAATTTCTCATTGCACCGATGGCCAACGAGGGGAAGGGAGGTTGCGTTGGAATCGTGTGACCGAGAGGAACGCCATAGAGTTGGAATTTGCAAGAAAAAAGGTCTCTAAAGAAATTTCATTTTTTCACCAAATAGGCTTGTGGACTCACGAAAAGTTCGGTTAAAAGTGTAATTTCTCATTGCACCGATGGCCAATGAGGGGAAGGGAGGTTGCGTTGGAATCGTGTGACCGAGAGGAACGCCATAGACTTGGAATTTGCAATAAAAAAGGTCTCTAAAGAAATTTCATTTTTTCACCAAATAGGCTTGTGGACTCACGAAAAGTTCGGTTTAAAGTGCAATTTCTCATTGCACCGATGGCCAATGAGGGGAAGGGAGGTTGCGTTGGAATCGTGTGACCGAGAGGAACGCCATAGGGTTGGAATTTTCAAGAAAAAAGGTCTCTAAAGAAATTTCATTTTTTCACCAAATAGGCTTGTGGACTCACGAAAAGTTCGGTTAAAAGTGTAATTTCTCATTGCACCGATGGCCAATGAGGGGAAGGGAGGTTGCGTTGGAATCGTGTGACCGAGAGGAACGCCATAGGGTTGAATTTGCAAGAAAAAAGGTCTCTAAAGAAATTTCATTTTTCACCAAATAGGCTTGTGGACTCACGAAAAGTTCGGTTTAAAGTGCAATTTCTCATTGCACCGATGGCCAACGAGGGGAAGGGAGGTTGCGTTGGAATCGTGTGACCGAGAGGACGCCATAGACTTGGAATTTGCAATAAAAAAAGGTCTCTAAAGAAATTTCATTTTTTCACCAAATAGGCTTGTGGACTCACGAAAAGTTCGGTTAAAAGTGTAATTTCTCATTGCACCGATGGCCAATGAAGGGGAAGGGAGGTTGCGTTGGAATCGTGTGACCGAGAGGAACGCCATAGACTTGGAATTTGCAAGAAAAAAGGGTCTCTAAAGAAATTTCATTTTTCACCAAATAGGCTTGGTGGACTCACGAAAAGTTCGGTTTAAAGTGCAATTTCTCATTGCACCGATGGCCAATGAGGGGAA